ACTTTTCTTTTTAGTCTTCACCAACTTACTACAGCTTTATTTTTCTGTTAATAATGCATGAATACCTTCTCTCCCTGTGTCCTTACTGAGCCCTGAAGGCATACACAACAAGCTTGACATTCCTAATATACTAGATAGATCTGGGTTAAGGTTTTGCAGTCACCATATAGACTTGCTGGTGCACATGTGTAGGCTCCTCAAGGAGTTGGAAAGCTTTATTTTGTAGTAACTACTGAAATCATACTGAAGCACATCAAAAATCCTTCACTTGAGTAACTGCTTAGTGAAGGTTCTCTTACTAGCTTTGTCCTAAACTTGACTTTATATTTGAATACTCATGAAGACAATAAGTTAACAGACTCAAGCTCAGCCGTATTAAATATTTAATGCATTTATATTTTTAGAGGAAAGTAAACAAGTCATCCAGAATGTAGAATTGTTATCTGGTTTAAGTCTGATGGTATCAGGCACATTACAGTCACTGTACAATCCAAAGCCTGTACAAAACTCCAGCTTATCTGTGCATACAGTGACTTCTAACTCCCTCTGAGAAGACAGACATGGATCTCATGTCCATCTATGCCCTAACTTTATAGAAATGAAGGAATCAAGCCATTTATTTAGCTGCTTCTACAAGGAAGCTTTATGTACTCAACAGGGCTCTCAAGGGGCTATTGCTGCCTAAAGCAAATAAACCTCTGTCTCCCAAGTGACAAATAAGTAGTGGCTATTAACAGGAGAGAGTTGTCGCAGAACCATAACTAAGACAGCAGATGGCTGGGGAACAGATAATACATGATTCTTGTATCTCTAAGATTTAGTAGATGGTGACTACAGAAGAGACTTCATACAGAACCTGGTCACCATGTTCTATAAAAATGGTATTTTCAGACATATAGATTATATCAAAATTTACTGAGTTTTTGTATGTTGACTAATGATAAAGCTTATTGGGAGTCTATGTTACATAGCAATGCAGTTGCCTGTCTAAATGACACCACAGCTCTACTAATGAGCAAGCCTAAATTAATTTAAAGCTAGATATATTAAATTTTCTTTATTCTTACAATTAGAATTATCAATAATTATTATTTTTGAGGTTCCATGACCCTCAAAAAACACATTACAAAAACATATACATACTCTTTAAATTGCCTTGGGATTCGTGAGATCACTAGTACTGAAATGAAATAACCTGAGATGTCTAGGTAGCCACTTCAGAGTTCTCTTATCTCAGTCAACCATTGTTTCCATTTAGCCTCCTGCTTTGACAGAAGAAACCTGGCTTAGAATAAGTAACTTCTCTAGCTTCTTCCTTTGACCAGAATATTAGGTACTACACATTTTAATTGATATATACAGATTTTTTAAAGCATTTCAAATGGCTCGCTTAAGTTGACAAGGTATCAACTTTTTCATACAAATAAAAATAGACTGAAGGATAAATTTACTTTTATAAGGTCAGAGAATGACAATTAGCATTTTTAGAACTTTGTAGTAGTATAAGTATATGTGAATTAAACATTAGTATATACAATAACAGTAATTAATAGCAAGAGTTTATTTGTCTTTTCTGCACACATAATTTTGTACACCCTTTGTCATTTATGTAATAATAGCACTCACTTTAAAGCATCATTATCAAAAATGGCAAGTGAAACAATATAACTATGACTTATTTTTCTTTTTTTAGCTTTATGCTTAATATGTTTAGCTGCCAACCCATTTCATTGACATATAGCTTACCTTAAGCTCTCAGAAACGTGTCTATCAAATACCTGCTTTGAAATTACAGTCAGTTCCATCAGTGGCACATCACTTAGATCACTTGCCAAACTGTGATGTCTTAGGTTCAATCCCCACCCAGAATCAAAACCAAACACTCTCTAAAACAAAAGAGTTTTTTATGCTAGAAAGAAGGCTCAGCAGTTAAGGACACATATTACTCTCACAGAGGACCCAAATTTAAGTCCCATTCAGACATGTCTGATAGTCATTTAGACCTTTCTGTCATTATCAAGCAAAATTTATTTTAAACATATTAACATTTACAAATCGCATCTGTTTCCACTTTTGCTTAATATGTTTCTATGGCTAACAAGCTAACAGTTTTTTGTCTAGTATAATTATATAAATTGAAATCATGCTTTTAGTAGAAAATGTTTGTGCCAGCGGGGGGGGGGGGTGCACAAAACACTGAGATTGCCAGTGGTATTAGAACACGGTATAGCAAGTTTAGTGTACTAAATAGCTGTAAATTATACAGAAGAATCAGAAATAGGTTATGGGATCTGAATGTGCTGCTGCCCAGCTCTATCAAGTCACACTGAGATATTTCAATATTCTCTTTACTAATAGGAAGATTCATAGCTGGGAAAGGCTTAAGATTTGAATTCCATTTAAACTAATAGTTTAAAGTGGAATAACTTTTCTTCTGGACTCAAGCTTGTATAAATTTAAGAAGTTGGATTATTCTAGGCATTTCATTATTTCTATTTTCATGTTTTTGTTTTTGTTGAGCAACTTGCCACATATTCAGCATTGCTTTATCTCCAGAGTTAAGTGTGCCAATCTCCTTTAAGATCTAGAAGAACCAGAGGGCATGCATTAGAGATTAACTACAGGAAGACATCTGACCAATCCAACCTAAATTCAAATAAGCCATCAACTTCATTAAACTAAGGAAGAAAGGAGGAAAGGAGGGAGGGAGAGCGGAAGAAAAAGAGGAGGGAGAGGAAGGGAGGGAGGGAGGGAAAGAAAGAGAGAGGGAGGGAGGGAGGGAGGGAAAGAGGGAGGAGGGAGGGAGTCCTATGTAATAGGAGCTGCCTCTTCCTGCGTTAAGCTGGCCACCAGATAAGATAGGCTAGACAACTTGGCATTCTTCTACCAAAACATGCCTACTTTTTATATCTACTCCTAATGATTATTCAGTCCATTAGAAAGCTAACAGAGCAAGAGCAAGAGAAGGGGTTATGTTTCCAGTTCTACACCAGTTACAGTATGACATCATATTTGTACCTAACTTTCAAAGACTCAGATTATCACTGTAAATATACAACCTTGGTTAGCTATGAAATTAAAATGAGGCAGCCTAGAATACATCAGGAATTAACAAATATTCATTCTCTTAAATGTAGTCCTGATGCTAAACCTTCTGGTAAGTAAAACACCTTTCTTATATAGACTAATGTAAAGCAATGATTGACGTCTTTTATACTGAAGTATCTGAGTGAACACCTCAAGGCACAAATGGCATCACTGATCACAGTTCACTAAGGCAGTATACATAAGAACTGTCAAGTGTTGTAGGAAGGGCCGCTTGGTCATTCCAGCTGCTCGGCAGCTCAGTCCCAAAATAACCACCAAGAAATTGTATTAATTCACTGCTTGGCCTATTAGCTCTAGATTCTTATTGGCTAGCTCTTACATATTAATTTAACCCATCTCCATTAATCTGTGTTATCGACATGTGGCTGTGGCTTACCAGGTGAAGTTCCTTCCAGCGTCTGTCCCCAGCGGGGTTACATGGCATCTCTCCGATTCCGCCCTCTTTCTCTCAGCATTCAGCCTAGCTTTTGCTGCCTAACTAAGTTCTACTTGCTATAGGCCAAGCCAGTTTCTTTATTCATTAACCAATAAAAGCAACACATAGACAGAAGGACCTCCCAAACCATGTCAGGATGATAAATGCTTTGCTTACTTGCTTTAGGGTATAAACAATATTCCAAACTTCTCTTCCACAAGGTTGACAAGTGGAAATTTAAACTTAAAATCTTTTGTCTTACTTTTTCTTTTATTACAGAGTACTACAAATGAAAGCTGATGAGAAAGTGGATTTGTCTGATGGGAACACAGCAAGCTGCCCACTGAGCCCTGTTAAGATGTGCCTTAATCATCCTGTTGAGTGGAATCTGACAGCAGCATCTCTAGCAAGCTGTACAGTTAATAACCAAAATCTCAAACATGAAGAAAAATAGTCTAAAGTCCTTGCACTATCCTTATTTTATATGTCAATATTCTTTCTCATGAAAAACCAATTGATCCTAAAATATTTCTAGTCCTGTGATGTCTTTATATTAAATCATTAGTGTTAATCATTTTTATTATAATTCTGTTTTTTTACAAACATTATGCAAGACCATTGTGGAATTTTGCAACAAAAGCAGATTTTGATGTTTCTCTTTCTATTGGTAATTGCCCAGTTCTATTTCTGTGCAGTTTTGACATATTAAGATTCTGTAATTTAGAAAGCTAGTATTGTAAAGGTGTGTGATAATGACCTAACCCATGAACAGTTGTGTAACAGGTGGATACTAACTACCTCGAAGCAAACTGCGAAAGGCAAAGGTATCACTTGGAAGTATATCTCTTCTAAAGTTATATATGTATAGAAAAAAGTCGATTAGCTTATCAAATAGCATGTTTTCATTCATAAAAAGAAAATTTAGGTTATCAGTTCTCTTTCTGTCATTTAAACCTCTCATCTGTGAGCCATAAGAGCAATGGCACAATTGCATGTTTACTCTTCAGCAAATTTGTACCTCACGGTAAACAAGAACACTGGTTTAATTTAACAATTTTGAATGGAAAAAAAAAGGTTAACTGTTTTTATACCTGTTGGTTTTATTGTCTTTTAGCAGTTTACTCCAAAGCTTACAGGGATATCCTGTAGAAGCTGGACAATATTCTTTACTAATTCTAATGATGTAAAGTATACCTGCTGCCATGGCTATTGTCTAAAATCTGAGTGGTTAAGACTACTACTAATGGTTTAGTGATTAAAAGCTGCGTTTCCTAAGTTAGAAAAGCAAGCTTTGGTACAGTGTCTACATGATCATGGCATCTTTCCTTTTGGATATTCTACACATATATAAATGAGATCATAGTTCATTCTTAATAGGTTTACTTCCTATTCTCCATGAATTTTTTTAAGGCAGGGATTTAACAGAGGTATAACAATAAGGAATATGAAGCACAGGAAAAGACACAGAACCAAGAGATGAAGAACAACAGTGTTTTTCATTAGTTTATATCATTAACATATATGCCTTTTTCTTTTACTTAATGAGCATTCTCGCTTTGTAACTTTGACTCCTTTTCTGAGTTCTATAAAGCACATATTATATACAGAGAATAGCCTTTTGGTTCTGAAAACCAGCAATATTCCCTTCACTCCATCTCAGAACATCAGCTGAAATAAATAGCCTCTGGCAAATAAATTTAAAGAAGCACAATTTATGAAAAATTCATATTAGACATTTTTATCTGAAATAAAGAGAAAAGGTCATTACCAGGAATAATAAAAAGTATTTCATTGGATATGGCAGAAATAAAGGACTACTTTTATATATTGTAATTTTCAAAACATTTGTTTCATAAGTAACAATTTTAAAAGATAATTGAAATTGATAGCAAAAAACTGCTCATAAATCAGTACATAAAGGTGACTTCTTATAATTTTCATTTCCCATTAGTATTGCTTATTATTCCAGGTAGATTATATTTTGATGTGCCAAAAACCAATGTATCTTCATGATTAATGTGTGTGGACATCTCCCAGAAACATTCATAAACAAGGGTTCCTATATGGAAAGCTTTAGGAAGAGAAAATTACCCATTGAGGTAAGATTATAAAATAAATACTTAGTATAGGAATCCTACAATTTTCAAAGCCATTGTTTAATGTAACTAAGGAATGCTTTGGTTCACTATACCAGTCCTCAATGGTAATAGGCAGTTCTTTAAAGCTATACGTACATACTTCACCCTTCAAATGCCATTTGTTTGGTGTCTGACACTGTCACGTATGTTAGATCTATTCTATCTAAGCTTCTCAAATATAAGCTACTGGGCTTATTACAAATCTTTCCAAATGTCATAGTTTCATAAGGTTCACCTAGAGAACCTATTTAAAAGTAGGTTCCTAGGTCCACGTAACAGTCTAATAAAAACAAGCATGTATTTATGCAGATGGATCACCACAGTAACTGTTAAAGCAAAGAAATAAGCACAACTTCAAAGGCCTCCATCCTCAACAGCTGTCTTAGCTTGGATCTTCATTAAGAAACTGGGCAAGACTAAGTTTACTTTTCATTAGTGCTGCTGTTTTGGCTCGTCTTGGTAATCTCATCTTCACTTCTGACGGTGGTTCTGGAACACCATGATCACTAAAGATATTGAAAACACATTCAAGTTAGATATAAGCTTTAAAACTCAGAATATTTATAAATAAAACTTCTAATTTCTGACATTCTAACAGTGTATAACTGACAGTCTAAGTCTATTAACTAAGCTTAAAACTAAAATCCCAAGCAATAACCAAAAAACACTGGCTGGATGGCTGTCCTGCCACATGAATCACAGAAAAACTAGCTAATTTGGTAAGTTTTAATCTACTGGTAAAGCCTGGTGTCATACAGGGAAAGAAGCAAACACCAAGCTTTTATAGTGACACTTGTAATTACATAGAGACCACAACAATCTGTCCTAAAGAGAGTTTTGAAATTCAAGTGAAAACTAGTACTATGTTCTCTTAATATAGTTAGTAAATCACTAAAACATTGTTAAATCCTCCCACTAAGACTTAATCTAAGAGAACAGGCACAGTCCAATACCAATGAGTAAACAAAAGGAGAGCTACAAACTTTTCAGGCTCCATTATGGCTTGACATTGACTGAGAAAAAAACACTATTAATACAAACCACTAATATACTAAAGTTATAAGCAGAATTGTAACTGAAAGATACAGAGTCATATACACAAAGTCAGGTAATGAGAATAAGAATACATGAAAATTGAGAACACATTAAACTACCACTAAATGCAATGCCAACGAATAAAAATACACACCTCTTCCTAAGTCTAATGTTCCTGATGGGTAATTTTAATTATTTGTCAAAGTCATAGATATTTATGGCTTTTATTATCTTGTAATATAAGTTTCTCTCACAAGAAAATTACACTTTTCTGAGCAAAATTAAAGTGATTGGCATTTTCTGTGTCTTGTAGAAACATACGACATACCTTTCAGAGTCAGTCTCAGGAGCCTGACGCCTCCTGTTAGTCCTAGATGAAAGTGGCGCTTTTTTCCGTCCTTAAAGACAGTATAATTTATTAGCAAAATTTTGAATAGTCTTATGTTTCTAAATATAGTTTTCAGGCTATCTAAATCTTTACTTTAAGCAAAACAATCTTCTTCAACACATTTCCTTATTCCTAGAGTCACCTTGATGCTTTCACTACACCACAAAGGGGTAAAAAGTCTAAAATTTGTATAAATTTCTTTGGATGAACACTACAAATACATGACAAAGAGGCAAACTTCAGCTCGCCTTATGTGGTAATAAAAACATTTTAGGCTGGTATGATAGCTCAGCTGGCAACGTGCTGGTTCTGTTAAAGATGAGGAGTAGAGTTTAAATGCCAGAACCCACACAACAGTCAGGTGTGGTGGCACAAGCTTATAATCCCAGCACTGGGAAGGCAGAGACCCACAAAGTCCTAGGGCTCCGTACTTGGAAGAGCTCTAGACCAGTGATGAACTCTTGTCTCAGAAACAAGTAGACTGTGACTAAGAAGCAAGCACACACGCAAGGTAACACACATATATGACGATTTTTTCTTTTAACAGGGACACAGCGTATATGAAAAACTAACAAAAAAGTTACAAAGGCAAATTCAGTCAATGAAGAGCTCCAAAATGAAACTTTGCTTTTATTATATGTATTTATCTTTGAAGCACTATGTTGCCTAGCTAGATTGGCCTCAAACTGATGGGCTCAAGCTATCCCCACACAGTCTCTAGAACAGCTTTTATTATAGTCTGACATTATCATACCTGACTTCAAATTTAAACAGCAAGATACAGTCTGCTTGAAAAGTACTTAAACGTATACATGGCAAGTTCAAGTTCAAATGTATTCTTAAATATAATTCAATGTTAAAAAAAAAACAACAGATCTCTATACACCAGGGTTTACCTGTTAGACTATTTTAAAAGGTTGAGAAGTAAGGATTAGGGAATATAGTTCAGTGAGTAGAGTGTTCACCTAGCATGTACAAAGCCCTGGTTTGAGTGACCATGTAAAATGGAGCATGGTGGTACACCACCTATATTCCCAACCTGTAATCAGAAGTTCAAGGTCAATAGTGAGTTCGAAGTTAACCTGAGATATATGAAAACCTATTTTGATTTAAAAAGAAAGAGAGAGAGAGAGAGAGAAAGAGAGAGAAAGGAAGCAAGAAAGCAAGCAAGCAAGAAAGAAAGAAAGAAAGAAAGAAAGAAAGAAAGAAAGAAAGAAGAAAAAGAAGGAAATAAAATTTAAGAAAAAGAGACATACTAAATCTGGCCTACAATGTTCCTCATTTCGAAGAAGTAAAATGTAGCATGTATACATTAAGTTTGGAATATTAAAAGAAAATAAAAAAGGAGTTCTCATACTTTATTCTGTAACTAAGAGTAATCTGATCAAAATCAATTGTTCATTTGACAATTTATTTGAAAACTGTATATGCCCTATTCATTGTTACATATTTCCCCCTCAGTTTATTTATTTGCTTTCACTAATGTATTTAGCCCCAGGAAGACATCCAAGAATATGGAACTAATTTCAAACAATATCCAGTAATTGGTGTTTAAATAATTGTTTGCAATGAAACAATATTATGGCCAGATTCTATTCTAGAAAAGATTAAATATACTTAGAACAGAGCCATAAAACTATTTTCAATAATTAAAATCATGTTTGGCTCATGGGTGGGACTATTAGTGTTCTTGATGGTAGGTCTGCTTGGATGTTCTTTCTTATTCTTCTGTAATAAGCATGCATTGCTTTTGTAATAAGGAATTAATAAAACAATTTAAAAGGCCTTGAATTTCAGATGTTTTCCACATGGTGCCCTACCAGCAAGCATGAATTTATTCTAACAAATATTCTACTGTTGGATACCTCTTGGGAAATTGAGTTAGAAAAAAAAAAAAAAGAATTAGATGGGGGAAAGGAAGTAAAAGGGGAAAAAAAGTGCTCATTGACACAAAAATTCTAATACTACTAAAACTATAAAACTATTATTTAACTTTTTATTGTTTGGTTGGCTTTTGTTGTTTGATACAGGGTTCTCTACATGCCCTGGTTGTCTCAGTACTCACTATGTAGGACAGTCTGTCCTCAAATTCAGAGATCCACCTGCCTCTACCTCCCAAATGCTGGAATTAAAGGCATATGCCACCAGACCTGACAATTTAACCTATTCTTGATTTACCTACAAAAAGCCCTTAATGGTCTATTTTTTGTATATTTTTTATTTAAAAGCATCTGGAGCATAATGATCTTATAATCCTCAGAAAAATCAAGAATTTCCATCAACTGAAGAGAGTAAAAGAAAGTTAAGTATACCTAAGACATTTGAAAATTTTTATTCCTAAGAGAGTAAAGTTAGTATTTTAAATTGAAAACAGTTGTAAGTTGTAAGGTCAGTCCATATCTTACCTGTGTTAGTCTTTCGTTGTGTGGATTTTGATGTTTGAGCTCCTTTTACATCCCTCAGAGGAGTCATATATGCTTCTATACATGGAATCATACAAAAATACAAACAAAAGACAGTCTTGTTTCTTTAAGTGATCCTTTTATCTCACACAAAACAAATAGAAAATAGTTCTATTAGCTGCCATCAATAAATCCCCATTCCAAAAGTGTGAATACTACAAAATGAAGCTCTGGCAAGATGGTTAGTAAGAAATGTACTCAATTACATTAAAAAGTGGAATAAATGCACATATAATAGCTTTTCCCAAGAGATTCAAAGAAAAAGACTTGTTCATTTCTTAAATATAATCAAAACAGAATAAAAATCTCAGTAAAGATGAAAAATATAATTTCACAGATATTCAGGTGAGAATGTAATTACCATCTTCATTCTGAAGAGCTGTAGTCGTGTTGATATCCTGTGCTTGGTCCTGAGCTGCTACAACTGGGTCCAGTTCTTTACTCCCTTTTTCTAACTGATTCTTAATTTTCTCCAAAGCTCTCAAACATGTTCTATCTGTTACTTGCTGGGGGGGGGGGGGGGTAGATATAAAATAAATAAAAGTTATGTGCCAATATATCAAGTTGTTTGAAAACATTCTTAAAATTATATAAAATTCATGAAGGAAACAATTATTTCTAATGAACAAGTAAAATATATAATAACAGGTATTACTTAATACATCTATCTAAATTCCATTCTGATAAATATGAACACAAACTACTTGAGAGTATTAAAAACTGCTTTACCTCCAGAATCTCATCCAATAGAAGCAGGAGATCTTTTGTAACATTGCTACTGAGTTCTATAGAACTCAAAGCTTTTGTATAAACCCGATTTTCTGGTGTGCATGGACTTGTGAGGATCTCATTACAAATTTTTATAGCCAAGTTGTCATGTACTGTTAAGGCCTAAAAAATTAAAAAGGAAAATCTTTGTAAAATGAGAATAATTTATCATAATACAGTTCTATATATCAAACAAAATATTTCTAACGATCTTGCAAAATGCTTAAACCTAAATTTGTATCTCCTTGCCTCCAAAAGAAACTCCTTTCTTTATTAGACATAGTGGGTACTATGGTACAAAGAGCAGATCTACCCCCTTTAGGACTGATGTATCACCCAGCTTTTGAAATGATTCAGGCTGATCAAAGTTGACCTCTTCCAAACTCACAGCACTGCCCTTAAAGGTCAGTGCATACCTAATGACTAGCCAGCCAATGCACAGGTACCACAGTGGTACTCATTTCAATCCCGAGCAACTCAAAAAAAAGAAAATAACAACAACAAAAAAAAAACCAACTCAGTTCTAGAACTCCTATATAATCAACTGAAACTCCTATTTAAACTCCAATTCAATCTGACCTATGCCCCTGACTACATTGCTCACTCTTGCAAGCATTCTATGAAGTGTATTGTTACTCACACTTAAGATTGTAGTCTTTTCTTGGATTTCATCATCTCTTTTGCCTCTCAAGTTTTCTCCAAATCTTCTCACCAGTTTACCTCATATAACCATCAGTGACCATTAAATGAGTCTTCTTGGTTAACAAGTCTCATCCTATTAATCCTTTAATAACTAAGTCCATTTATATGATGACATATGACATAGGGCCAACTACAACCTTTGCAATCGTATCTTTCCTATCTACTCAAATCACTTCTCAAATTCCAACCAGGCCCAATGCAACCAGGTCTGATGATACACGCCTGTAATCCTAATTACTTGGGAAGCCAAGCTGTTTGAGCACCTTAATAATGCCCTTTCTCAAAATAATAAAAAGGGCTGGGGATATAATTCAGCAGTAAAAGAGTTGTCTAGCAGCAATAAGACCTTAGTTTAATTCCCAGAAATGCAAATAAAACTAACGATACACTCATCATTCTTCATAACAAATCTTATACTTTCCTAAAGTCCAAAAGCATTATATATTTTGCTTCATATCCTTTTTAATATAATCTTCCTAATACATAATGCTGTGACAAAGTAGTCACTTAATAACAAAAAAAAAAATAACAATACACAAACAGAACAAAACTGTCAACTTCCAGTTGGCATCTGAAATCATTAAGACATCAAATTTCTACATATTCAAGCAAATGTCATTAAAGGATTTGAAAATCCAGTTAAAATTAATTAAATTATAGATGAGCTAGCAGTTGACCTGTATGCTCCACTTGAGAGCCAAAATAAGCTTGAAATAAACTCTTGCCTTTAAATTGTCCTCATTACATTTTCAGATTTAATGAGTTTTAGATAACAGAGGTCATTACTTCAAGGAGGATTACCACATGAGGTGAGGAAAAAAGTAATGGAAATACTAAGTTTTAGTAACTTCTAGGTTGTGAGACATTTGAAATCATTATTTCTATTTTCATGATGTCTCCACATTTCCCCAACGATCTTTTCCCCTCTTGAACCTGCTTTATAAACCAGAAAAACAAAAACCTCAAATATAAATGTAATTCATCACAATTTCAAAGAACCCAGCAGAGGGAATTCTTTAATCCAACAACAATGATCTTCATGCAGTAGTACTTGCCACCCACAGACTAACATACACACCTGATAATCTTGGGAATTCTTCCCCTGAGGATTCAATCTGCTTGGTCTTGTCAAATCAATGAGCAACTCAGCAACATTTGTGACATCTACTTCAGCTAAAGGAGATGACGCTGGGGCACTGGCCAGTGTTTGCAGAGTTGGAAAAAAGGCTTCTTCAAAGCATTCTTGATTAGTCCTATTGAAAAGCAATTTGAACTTTCAGTACAAGGCCAAGGACATCTGCCCTGCTAAAGACTTCAGATCCCTTTGACATTTTAGGCCTTCCTTAACTTCAAGCTTCTGAATAAAGTGATTTGACCAAAGATATACCAAAAACTCCATTTATTAGTATGTTGGCAAAACATTATTTAAGGGAGAAGTTTAATTCTAAAATATGCACAAAATGTATCGATTGAAGATAAGGCATATTTCCATGCAGAAAAAGCTTAAAAACTCTGATTATGTAAAATATATGCTACATTCTTACCATTCATCTACTGAAAGAAGGTATATCAACAACAAAATGATATAGATATAATTCAGGTGTGCCTCAGGGGAGGCTAAATCTGACTTCAAATAAGATTTTATCAAGGACTCAATACCTGTTTGCAAAAGCAAACATGGGAAAAAACACGCCTAGACAATGCCGAAGTCGGACATCCTCTTCAGTCACGGGATTATACCATAACAAAATAAGGCGAGAAAGAATCCTGCTGCTGACCAGAAGCCCAGAGAACATCAGCTTGGCTAATCCTTCTGCAGCTCCTGTCCTGAGTTCAGACACCTAGGAAAAATGACACTCAATCAGAAAGTTTTATCTCTAGTTTCTTTTGAAGATTATGTGTGATATTTTAAAATAACTATACAAAAATCATTAATTTTATCATGAATTTGGTAAGAGTAGAAATATCATTGCAGGTTTGAAGCTAGCCTTGCCTACAAAGTAAATTATAAACTAACCTGGGTTACAGAATATGGTTGTCTCAAAAACCAGAACTAAAATAAAATACTTAGGGGATTACAATAAATAGTGGTCAGAGTCAAGTTTTGTAGTAAGACATAGCTACATTAAAAAAAAAAAAACCTCAAATCAATAACCTAAATTACGCCTCACTGAACAGGAAAAGAGCAAATAATCTGATTGTAAAGCAAACAAGGTTTAGAATTAGGTAAGCAACAGAAAATAAGGAAAAAGAAAATCAGACATCACAAACAAGAAAACTATGCTGTCACTTATGAAAATAGATGAAAAATTTTCCATCAAAATAGTAGTAAACCAAATTCATTAACACAGTGAAAGGGTCATGCATCATGGGCAAAAAGAATTTAATCACAGAAATGCACAGGTGGTGCATACCACAATCAAGTATGAATGTTACATACCATTATCAACAAATCAAAGAAGAAAATCCCTCATGATCATATTGACTGAAGCAGAAAGAACACTCAGCAAAATTAAATTATCTTTTTATTAAAATACAAACACAAAATAGCCAGGGGTATAAGAATAGAAAGCAATCCTCTCAAAATGATAAAGGACATTCCTGAAAACCTTATAACCAATACCACATTTATTAACAAGATTCACAACTTTCACCTTAAAACCAGGAATATGATAAGGACATCTGCTTCAGCCATCAAACAGAAGATGAAGCAGAGCAATTGAATAAGAAACAAAATATTGTACCTATTCAGAAACAACACAATTTTACACAGAGGAAAACTCCCAAGAATTCCCCTTTCCAAAGTTACTTGTTACTAAGCCAGTTCAATTCACAAAATGTAAAGTTACACACACACACATCTTAGCTGAATTTCTGTTCTGAGAACAGTGAACAATCCAAAAGGAAATTAAGAAAAAAATATATATATTAAAAAATATTTTCAAAAACAGAAGTGTCCATTTGTAATAGTATCTGTTCTAATTCATTTCTGTTACTATGTTAGAAACACTGTGACAAAGGAACCTTCAATTCTTTGCACACTAATTTGATAATGAAAACTAATAAGACATAAAATTTAAATTTTAAACTAATATTTTTTAAAATAATATTGTATCAAAGGTAAACTTTGGTAAAAAAAAAAATAGAGCTAAGAAGATAAACACAGGCTGCAGTGTTTCATAACTGTGGAGCTGAATGCTCCCTTACCTCGCTATCTAAGAAGTCAGTGAGGAGTTTGAGGACATTCTTAGCTGTGGCGGTCTCTTCAGCATCTTCTGCTTCTTCTTCATCACCACTGTTTATTTCTGCACCTTCACACTGGACGGTCTTAGCCTTCTTAGTTTTAAATGGTTCAATCCCAAATGTCATCAGTTGGTCAAAGATTGCCTTTAAAGCACTGATTTTTATTGTGACGTCATCAATCTGCAAAACCTACAATTAGAAACACCCAAAAATTCAGTAAAACAACTTAATACTATATTCTAAGTAAAATTAGTATCTTTCCTAGTTAAATTTCAATGACAGTGTTAAGTGAAAACAAAACACTTTTCAGAATTATAGTTAAAATTCCACTTTTAAAAAACAAATTATTTATTTATCTCATAATGGAACTTTAGTCCTTAAATCAATCTTTGCAGTGGAAAAAGATTTTGAAGTCACAGTCTAGCTTGATTGTATTATTTCGTCCTTTGATAAGAAAAATAGAACTCAACTATGGTAAAATTTTGTCATTTTCTAAGATCCAGAAAAAACTATATAGTTATATGTAAACTGTTCTCTCTGCCTAGCAAACAAACAAAAACAAAAACAAAAAAACCAGTACATTTTAATGAATTTAAAACTTTGTTACAATGTCAGTACTCTTACGTTCCTTTTAAGCAAAATTTTTCTCTTCACTTAATAAATTCAGATTTCATATAGTAAATTCAGCTGTCAACGAGATGCTTCAATACAGTAGTTTAGGGAGATGGCTTAGTTGCTTAAGTGACTGTTAAACATATGCATTTCAGATAACCAGCACCCACACAGGAAGCTAGTTACACAGTGCACATCTATATCCCCACCACTGGGGAACAGACAGGTGGATCCCTAGTGCTCATTGGCCAACTAACCTAACCAAATCAAGGGAGTCTTGGTTCAGTGAGCAATCCTTGTATCAAAGTTATACAGACTATAACCTGAGGAAGATACCCAACATAGATCTCTGCATAAGTACACAAACAGTTTAAAGCCTATCCTGAGAACTACACAGTAAATTTCAAAACCATGGGGGGAGGGGGGATTCTGTTATGAATTAACAACTATACTATTCAATGTAATTTGATCTTTAAAATAACCAAAAATCACCTCTATGTTGGTCAAATTAGTGTAATTAGAAAAATGACTTATTTTCAAAACTGACAAGAATTTCAAGAACATATCCACTACATGTTTTGAGAATGAATCCTGTAAATCTAACAAAACCAAATTCTCTTAATATGTCATTTTGATGGCTCTCAGATACGTTATTACCTCAGTGTCCACAGTTTCCTTATTACACTCATGCCCCTAATATGCAGCGATAGCTACCAATATTCAGTCCTAAGGAGATTCTAAGATGTAATAATTGCCCTCTTCTGATTTTATAACAAATCTTTATATATTACATCAATTTTTATTATTAGCACCTAACAAGTTTTTCTAATCCCAGTATAGACATTTCACTCATCTAAAAATTGTCCAATGAAAGCCTTAAGAATACTTTAAAAAAAAAAAAAACACCAAAGAGCTGGGCATGGTGGTGCACGCCTTTAATCTCAGCACTCTGGGGACAGAGGCAGGCATACCTCTGAGTTCAAGGTCAATTTAGTCTATAAAATGAGGTCCAGGATAGCCAGGGCTACATAGAGGAACCCTGTCTCATAATATAAAAAAAAAAAGTTAAAAAAATAATCCAACCTTTATAAAGATACAAGATTGAATCTACTCAGTAGTTATCTTCTTTTGATCACAAACTCTTGTGAAAACTAAGAAAAGGCTAAACAATAAATAAAAAATAAAAAAAATTAAAAATCACAACTCAGAATAGTATACAAAATATAGGCAAACTTCAGAAGTTTTCTCCCCTTCAATCTATCATCCACAAATACTTTTAACTTTAAAAACATGGTCAGACCCAACAACTGTATTAAGTGAGATTAACTTAATAATCTGTTAAATTAAATAATTAAATTAATTAATAATAATTAAATAATCTGTTGAATCCCGAGCCAACAGTATTTATAGGACGTATATATAAGTGGGGTGGGGTTATGCACAAGAAAAGATACACAGGACACATGTGACATTAAGGCAGAAAGGGGGTTATGAGAGGTAAAAGAATATGGGGCAGGAAGGCTAGAGTCAAGAATCAAAACCAAATAAATGTTCTTCCCTGAATCATTTATAGTGGAAATCTCTATTTTTACAGGGTAAGTTCTTCGAAGATATGAACATCCTGCCAGCTTTCTCCTGTTATCCATCACTTTGCTTAGATTTTCCTAGTGGTATGTCCTCCTGTTCCTCCAACAGGCAAAGCAAGGTACCACCCCAAGATCTTTCTCCTCTGCTCTTCTCTTCACTAATAAGCTGAGACGTCTGAGGTGGAGAGGTTGCTCAGCTATTAATTGTTGGGTAATATTATTTTCAGGTGTATGACTTTTGTTTATGCTGCATCTGTTTAACTCTGTGAAGCTATGTTACTGCGCCTGCCTAAAACACATGATCCTAATAAAGAGATGAATGGCCAATAGTGAGGCAGGAGCAAGGATAAGTGGGGCTAGCAAGCAGAGAGAATAGGAGAAATGAGACGGAGGAGCAAGAGAACAAGAAAAAGAGGACATCAGGGGCCAGCCACCCAGGCAATCACAGAGTAAAAAGGAAAGGTATACAGAAAGAGAGAAAGATAAAAGGCCCAGAGGTAAAAGGTAGTCAGGATAATTTAAGAAAAATTGGCAAGAAACAAGCCAAGCTAAGGCTGAGCTTTCATAACTAATAAGTCTCTCTGTGTGTAATTTATTTGGGAGCTGGATGGTGGGCCCATGGTGCATGCACACATCTACACACACACACACACACACACACACACACACTCTACACACAGACAGATATACACAGAAAAATAAAATCTTTAAGAAAAAAAAAGGAACCAAGTTATTTATAAGGCTGCTCTTTTAACTTTTCTCTATGATCCTGAATGTCAAAATATGACTAAGGCCACGTCAATGAAATATTCCTCTCCCTCTTCTCATTCCTATTCCTGCTGTTGCTATGCTCTATGCTATTGTTTCCCCGTCAGCACAGACTTAAGTGGGTTCTCTTTATCACCTACCTGCTGTTTTTATCCTAAGCGGAGGACACTGAGAGCAAATATATGCACTCATACACGGTACGTGATCATCTTAAACTGTTACTTCAATCTCCTTCTATAAGAACGTCTTGATAAGATATCAAGAAAAAACTGAATCCCTAAAGATTATTCACAATCAATAAGTATCTGAACACATCCAGAATATTAACATATGGCTAGAGATACAGAGTATTTCAGGAAACAGACACATGATTTTTGTCATAAAAATCAATCCTACCTGTAAGAATAACATGAAGTGTTTACTTGCAAAATCCTGACTCTGTAGTCCACAGCATCCCAAGCACAAAACAGCCAGATTTCTTACTACAGGATGAACACTTATTATTCCAGGAAGAATCTACAATGAAGTAAAAATTAAAATAATTTTTATCAAGGCAAAAAATTTAAAATGCCATATTAAAATCAAGGTCAAATTGATGATTTCCATATGATTTTGTAAGGCTACTTCATTTCCATACTACTACAGATATTAAAAAAGAAAGTTTTCAGTTAAAAAAATGAAAAGAGGTAATTATAAAGTTGATTAAACAGAACATAGTCAGAGAAATTTTCCTATTTAATATGTAACATTCCGACATCTGCTAAAACTGATTCAAAGATTCCCAATGCTAACAGAATGAGACAAAATTCTTTTTTAATATAAGGTGTAATCCTTCCTACATCCTCATTTCAGACATGCTTCACTGTGATTTTAGCATGTTCAACTGTCTGATTTTGATATCTCCTTTTCAGTACCACCCAACAGAAATAAAATAGAGGCCACAAATAGAAATTACAAGTCATTTTGGTTATTTTAAGATCTACATTAAAGTAAAAAGAAATCAGTAAAAGTACTATTTTTAACATAACGTAAGATTAACATAGAATTAATCTTATATATTCTAAATATTGCTACAGAATGTAAATGATAAAAATTATTATACAAATGTATATTCTCCCATCTTTAAAACTGTTTCTATATAAAAGGAGACTGCTTTTCCTTTGTTCCCAGCCACCCAGACCTGAATAATCATACAGAAACTATATTAATTACAATACTGATTGGCCAATTGCTTAGGTGTATTGCTTGTTAGCTCTTATATCTTAAATTAATCCATTTCTATTAGTTTACATTTTACCACAGGGCTCATGGTTTGTTACCTTTCTTCTTGGGCACCTACCTTTGGCAGCTACATAGCATCCCTTTGACTCTCTCTCTATCTCTGTTCTGATTTTCTGCCTTGCTTTACTCTGCTAAGCCACTGGTCCAAACAGCTTTATTCATTAACCAATAAATGCAACACATATACAGAAGGACTTCCCATACTATTATTACAGTATATATCAATCTAAACTGATGCGGGAGAATTGTCTGTATTCTGTCAATCATATTTTAATAAAACGCGGATTGGCCAGGTAGGCAGTATAGGCAGGAAAACCAGACAGGAAGTAGAGGTGATGCAATGAGAACAAGAGAATTCTGGGAAGCAGGAAAGCTCCCTCGCCATTCCTGTGCAGACCACCGAAGAGGCAACATGCAAGCCGTCACACTGAGAAAGGTACTGAGCCCATGTGGCTAACATAGATAATGATAATGGATTAATATAAGTTACAAGGACTAATAAGAAGCCTGACCTAATGAGCCAATCAGTTTATAATCTTACGAAGTATTGTGAGTGATTTTCTTTGGGTTTTGCCGTCTATGGGGTACTGGGCGGGACAGATACCCCAACAAGCTGGCCCTCATGTTACATATGGCGCCCAGACGTGGATAACTGAATCCACAGAAAGCTTGAAAAAGTTTGGGAAAGAATAGATTAAAGCATGTTTTCTTGGTAGCAGCAATTTCTCAGGTCTGCTCTGCTTGCTAGAGGCAAGCAAGAGCTCTCATCTAAGAGAGGCTTCCTGACTCAGCTTTAGCTGCAAAACCTGCAGTTCTTTTAAGAGGTCCTGCCACAAAACATTTAAATGGTGTTGATGAAAACCTGAACGCATGCTTTTCGGGTTTTCAGCCGTAGCAGGTCAAAAGCTCCATTGTTTTAAAATGCCGACTTTCTGGATCGACCTACCAGGGCAAACTCTGACTCTTTCAGGCAGGCAGTATGACTGAGTGTGGTCTGTGAGCAGAATGTTGCAGCTTGCTTGCTGACACGGACTTTGAAACGCCATAGAGTTGTGGCAGTGAACACAGCTCTGGCTGGTATCTCAGCCGTGAGGCTGGAAAGCTAAGAAATGGGCTGGATCTAACTGTCAAAGTCACGGCTTTAGTCCTACCCATTAAAGACTCACGTGGTCAGAAAAAGAGAGACATGCAGTAAAGAGAGATTTAAAGATGAAGAAAACCTCTAAATGGTTTACAGTTTGTTAAAACTATATGCAGGCTAAAGGTTAAAGTCATTAAAAATAAAAAAAGAAAGGGAGAAATAGGGTGTGGTGGTACATACCTTTAATCCCAATGCCTGGGAGGCAGAGGCATATTGACCTCTGTGACTTCAAGGGGTAGAGGCAGATTGACCTCTGTGACCTCAAGGTGTGGTAGTACACGCCTTTAATCCCAGTACTGGGGAGGCAGAGACAGAGGGATCTTTGTGAGTTCAAGGACAGCCTGATCTACAGAGTTATTCCAGGACAAAGATATAAAGAGAACCTGTCTCAAAAAGTAAAAGTAAAAATATAAGAAATAGAGGTTAAAGTAAAGCCACATAAAGATGGAAAATACACAGAGAATCTTGATTCTGTATACTATTATGTTCTCTTTGAATTGTTTGAATGCTGAGGAAGGAGCAACAGCTGCTAAAAGATATTTGCTTATAAATGCTGCAGAATTAATCCAAGATAGGTATTTTGAAAATACCTTGGCTTCAAAACTGAAGTCAAAAGGTATGTTACTTTGGAGAAGAGATTTTGCTTTTGTTTCCACAGAAAATGAGAGGTTGTGGATTCATTCAGAGTTAAGAAAAATCATCTTTGATCAAGGGAGACCTGAGAAATTTCCAGTAGGAACAGATGGCCTAGATGTCTGAATTCTACATCCAGAACAGATTCAAGACTGCTGCCTGAGATGATTAAGACTCACAGGATACTCCAGTCAGGACTTGATGATAATTCTAAATTTTCTTTAGGTCCCCATAAGATTATCAGCGCCCCTAACCAGCAGGAAGTAGCCTGAAATACTACGCCCATTTCCAACAAATGGACTATGGGTATTTTCTTTTGTTTAAAAAAAAAAAAAGAGGGAAATGATGCGGGAGAATTGTCTGTATTCTGTCAATCATATTTTAATAAAACGCTGATTGGCCAGGTAGGCAGTATAGGCGGGAAAACCAGACAGGAAGTAGAGGTGATGCAATGAGAACAAGAGAATTCTGAGAAGCAGGGAAGTTCCTCTGCCACTCCTGAGCAGACCACCAAAGAGACAGGATGTAACTTGCCCAGCTGAGAAAGGTACGGTATGGCTGACATAGATAAGGATAATGGGGTAACAAAAGTTATAAGAGCTAATAAGTAGCCTGACCTAATATCAGTTTATAACCTTATGGAGTCCTGTGTGTGATTTTTCTTTGGGCTTGCCGGCTGTGAAGTACTGGGCGGGACAGAAACCCCAACAAGCTGGCCGTCATGCTACACTAAACTAGTTTTTAATATTTACATATAGCTCTGGTTTTAAATGTTCTTCCCTCTCTTCACATACCTTAAGATATAACAGGATCGTTATCCTCAAATAGGTCAAACCCTGCAATTACTAAGTTAACTTGTGACCATTTAAATCTACATAACCAGTGTCAATAGCCTAAGTAACTAATTTTTATATTTTAATTACATCACCTTTCCCCCTTCCCTTTGCTCCCTTCAACCCCTTTCATGCCTCCATCACCCACTGCATGCTCCCCACACCCCTTCAGAAATTGATGGCTTCTTTGCTATTGTCACACACATAAATATACATAGTACATAAATATACATAGTATCTATTTTTTTAACAATATTGCCCTCACTTGAGCAGAGGATCCAGGATAGCATTCTATATGTTTTATATTTTATGTATACTATATTTCAAGCATTTCTTAGATAATATGCATTCAATGAACATATTCTAAAGAAACAGTTTATATTTTATTTTAAATGGTGACTATAAAAATGAATTATCTAATTTATTCCTCATACTATGAAGTAGTCATTATGGATATACATAAGTCACTATTTGTATTTATCAAATTTTTCAAATGGTTGTCTTTTAATTATTTTAAGCATTAATGAACATATTATATAACAAGGTAGAGGAGTAAAAGGCCTCAGAGACCAGCAGTGTACCAAAGATTCAATGATCCCATTCATGGTTGCACCAATTCCAGTTGAAATGGATATCTGCTTCAACAATTCATAGCACAAAATAAGACACTTCTGTAATGTTTCAGCATCATTCTAAAATAAAAGACAAAATATCCAGTATTAGTAAGAATAACTTTTGCCTATCACTTAAACAATTGCTCTCTTGAGACTTTTCTATGGCTATAGTCACTCTTTGTTCCCTAGGCTATTTTATCCAAACATGCAATTCTATTTTTCATTTATGAGCTAGTCAAGTTTTCCTGCTAGATTGAAACTGTCCATTCTAAGGGGGAGCTCCTTAAACAGAAGGTAAACAACTCAAAATAGATACAGGAAATTACCCAAACTGACCAGAATCACTAGGCCCCTCCCTGCCAGAGTAAGAAGTAAAAGCTGAACATATTTTCTGACAAGTCACCTGCAAAAACACCAGACCAGTAGCCCAGAAGAAGCAGAAACCAGGTGAGCTGCCTGTTGGAAGATTAGAATAACTGAGGCACCTGGAAAAGACATTCCCCAACCTGATGAGCTACCTGTAGACTGTAGAGTGTGCTCCAGGTTCCCAACTTTGTGAGCTGTCACCAAGTCTAGGGTGGGCTTTGGTGATGCAGATGTCTATGAGAGTCATTTCTGCTCCTATAAGTAATCCCTTACTCATATTTCTGTAAGGAACTCCAATAAAACTCATTGGTTCACCAAGTTGGACTTTGGTGGTATCTGTACTTTATTTAGTTTATTGTGGGATCTCTATCTGAGTAAGAAGATGTATACACTGTATCTCCCTAGGAAAGTTTTGTCATATAATAGCCAGCTTTTTAAAAAATTTCAACATCTTATATACAAGTATAAGACACTTCTTGCATGTTCCATGGGCTTCACATCCAAAATGGAACTAACTCACTGCTAAGTTTCTAACTCATGCATTCTATCATATCATGACCATCTCTCTATTTGTCCAAAGCAAAAAAAGCCAAGAAACTCATTTCTCTCTTCTTCCTACTACTAAATCTTAAATAGCCTGACACACCTCTCTTCTATTTGTACTCACCATCACCTCATTCACAGGGCCCTCATCTCAAGCTATACTTCTAAAACTCAGCCAAGCAATATGACTATCTAGGCTTTATCACTCTTTATTTTCAAACAATACTAACCTTTCTAAGACAGAGTACTCATTCTACACTTTAAAATATCCCTGTATCCACCATCATCTCTGAATAATGTAGTTTTTTTTAATATTGACTAGCTGAGGCCTTACATAGTTCTTAATAGTTCCTCTGATTTATCTATTTTCTATCCAAAACTGTCTCCACGTAAACCTAAAGTTTTGAAGGAAAGCAATCACCTTTTTAAAAATCTGGGTCATCAAACTATCATTACATCTACATTTCCTTAACTACTCATTAAGGAGAGACAAGACAACATTTGTTAAACGTATAAATTTATAGTTAACTATTTAGGCTTGAAAGATAGTAGGATTGGGGCAATTAGAATGATTAATTCACATTTGTAAAGAACTTGAAGGGATAATCACCTGACTAGCTTACTACAGAAAAACCATCCTTTAACTTGTTAGTCTGTACTATGACTGATAGTTAACCTTGAAATAACTTGGATTAGGCTGAGAATCAGCTAGTAAACATTAGTAAAGCACATCATTGGATGTATCTGTGAGGGTTTTTTAAAAGACAAAGAAGGGAAGACCCACTCTGAATACAGGTGGCACCAACCCACAGGGTAGACGCCTGAACAAGAATACAAGGCAGGAAAGGAAAAAACAGCTTAGGCCTTTGGCTCCCTGTCAGTCAGGATGGGAGCCTTTGAGGGAATACTATTTTAAGGTGTGTTACTTTTGTTTTATGTTGTAGAACATTTGTTTAATGATATAAAGATATATTGCTTTTGTTTGTGTTGTATTAGTTTAACTCTGTGAAACTGTGATTCTTTGCCTGTTTAAAACACCTGAGGGTCTAATAAAGAGCTAAATGGCCAAGAGCAAGGTAGGAGCAAGGATAGGAGGGGCTGGCAGGCAGAGAGTATAAATAGAAGGAGCAACGAGGAAGAGGAGGACATCAGGGGCCTGCCACCCAGCCATGGAGTAAGAGTGAAAGTAAGATATACAGAAGAAAGAAAAAAGCCCAGAGGCAAAAGGTAATCAGGATGCTTAAGAGAAGCGATCTAGAAATAAACCAAGCTAAGGCTAAACATTCTCACTAATAAGCTTCCATGTGTAATTTATTTGGGAGTTGGGTGGCGGGACCCCAAAAGAGTACAAAGAGTAAAACATCACACAACAGGAGCCACTCTATTCTACCACATTCTATCAACCCTAATGTGTAGAAACCTCTGAACTATGAACCAAAAAAAACCAAAAAAACAAAAAACAAACCCTCCTTTCTTCCCAACTGTTTTCTTAGCTAGTGTCTCATAACAAAGAAGAAAAAGTTAAATTTCTTCACATCTCAGGCTAATCTACTTCTTCCTCTGAGGAAACCTGTAGCATTCAACATATACACATCTCTCAATAAAGTTTCAGGTTTCCTGATATCACAACATCTATTACATTAGAATTATAATAGCTATGGCTCCCAAATAAGACAAAAAGATACTCAATATTCAAAGAAGTCAAGAGATTATTAATCAGGCAGACCACTTTTACAAATGCTTTCCTTATCTTTGGGGAGAAAGCAGGTGGGGTCAGGACAGGGCTGGGAATCAAACGTAGGGCTTCCATGTGCTAGGCAGGCACTCTCATTACGGAGGTACCTCTCCATTCCTTGGATCTTTAAAACAGGGCCTCACTTATATAGCCCAAGATGGTCTTGACCCAGGGACACTTTTTCAAAAAGTTTCTCAATTTGAAATTTTATTTATTTACTTACTTACTTACTTACTTACTTTTGGTTTTCCAAGACAGGGCTTCTCTGTAGTTTTGGAACCTGTCCTGGAACTAGCTCTTGTAGACCAGGCTGGTCTCAAACTCAGAGATCTGCCTGCCTCTGCCTCCCGAGTGCTGGGATTAAACGCATGTGCCACCACCATTGAATTGTTTTCATTTTTGTTGTTGTTATTGTTTTCTCAAATTTAATAGGCTAGGATAAGCCACAGATTATAAATAAGCTACTGACCATAAAAATCAATGTGACATTCTCACTGGAAAGGTGAAGTGTTAGGTTAGCATATGTTTATAACTAGGGAGTTTAAAGATACACAGTTAATTCTAAAACTCACTTATACACAGTACGCTTTCTTGTTCAGCACTGTCTTAAGCACTACCCAAATCAAAAGTGCAATTATAGTCAGGTGGTGGTGGTGCATTGCTTTAATCACACACTTGGAAGATAGAAGCAGAAGATCTCTCTGAGTTTGAGGCCAGTCTGGTCTATAAAGCGAGTTCCAGGACAGTCAAGACCGTTACACAGAGAAATCCTTTCTCAAAAAAACAAAAACAAAACAAACAAAGAAAAAATGAACAAAAACAGATGCAATTATAAGTATGTACAATACAAAGACAAGATCTTTAAAAAATAAAACACACAAACTGATACATTCTATCATATGCTAAAATAAATTGATGACCAAAGACATAATCCTTTTAAGAGAAAATTTGTCAAATGGCTAAGTTAAAAAAAAAATAGAAAAACTTCAAATATTACTAAATATCAAGTGTTTCATTAAAAATAAATAACAAAGTTGTGACTGGGAAGATGTTCAGTGGTTCTTAGTACTTGCTCTTCTTGCAGAGGACCAGATCTGGTCCTAGCACCCACATAGCAACCTGTAACCTTCTAAAATTCCAGTTCCTGAGGATCTAATGTTCTCTTCTGACCACCAAGAGCACCAGGCATACACAGTACACATACACACACGCAAGCAAAATACTCACACACATAAATAAATTAAAAAAAAATAACAAAGCTGCTTTGTTTTTTTCTAACTACGCATATGCCCATTTACCAAAAAAGATAAGTATTTCTTCACCAAAGATGTTTTATCCTAGCAATAAAAAGGTCATGGACCTCCTTTCACAAAAGGGAAAGATAAATGCAAATCACGGAAAAAAAAAACCATTCACTGAAAATAAATAAATGAATAAACGTCTAAGGAAATCACTAGAGGAACAGTTTTCTGAGAAGGAAAAACGTATTTAATTTTCAGGGTTAAACATGACAAAGAAACAAGTCTTAGCTACAAAAATTAAAGGTATTTTTCAAAGGCCAAAAATGTCAGGTGTGGTGTGGTGGTATACCACTTTAAAATCCCGGCACTAGGGAGGTGGAGGCATAGACAAGTAGATCTTCATTAGTTCAAGGCCAGCTTGGTCTATAAAGCGAGTTCCTGGCCAGTCGGAGCTATGTAAAGAGGTGTCTCAAACATCACAAGTCTAAATATATAAAACAGAAGTTTCAAAATTAAAGTTTCTTTTTTCATTTTAATTCATGTTATTAACACAACTCCCTCCAAAGTAAATACATTAAGGTAGTTTAATGAATTAAAGAAAATAAGTTTGTTGATATAATACTAGTTAAAATTTAGTATGAAAAAAAGACATATACCTTTTCTGTGTGAACTTCTTTAATTTCAAGTTGCTCTGTCTCTTTTAGCAGGTTTATTTTGGCATCTTCCAAAGTTTTTATCTCTTCTTTTAATTTTGATGCCTGGTCAAAATCCTGTACAGCAATGCAATTTTCCAAAGCTTCCTTAGCCTCAATAAGCTTAACTTTTATTTCAGCCATCTAAAGGAAGATAGAAATTGATCATCGACAGAAAAATTAACATGAAAATTTGTCACAGTATCAAAAAGACTCAGGATTGACGCAGTCAAATATAAGATTTTGTTTTCCTAAAACACAGATCAGCGAATCTGTTGTAATCTGGTAATGATTTGTATACCCTTAGAGTATAACACTTATATATTTCTGAGCAGTCCAGCAGGAGGCAGCAAGGACATCACTAGAGCATATCTTTGATTTAGAAGAGACTTACCTTGAGTTCCTTCTTTCTAGTATCAGATGGATCAACATGAACAGTAACGATGGGTGCACGAATCTCTGAAATAATTTCTGTGACCTGAGAGTAATAATTCAAAATACAAACTGTAATCCATGTTTTATACGAGCAAATGATAACAAACTGCTACATCAAATTGTCATCTTGACAAGCAAAGGTCATCTTTGAAAGACAGCAGAAGAATTATCTAAAAGTCATACATACTCATTTGTTACACAATCCTAAGTAAAGACCGTGCTGGTTCATCTTGTCCATTTGATTGGACTTGGTATAACCTGATAGTCACTGTGGGTGTTTTCAGATACTCCCCAAGATGGTGACTCTTCTCAGTGGGCAGCCCAGTTATACAGATGCAATAAAAGAGCAGTGCTGCCTGCCGGGAACAACTGACTGTAAAGTGACTGTGCTTGAGAAGAGATAGCCTGCAAAGGTTAATTAATCCATACCGCCAACCTGGCTACATTTGGAATCATTTAGGAAACAGCCCTTTGGATATGCCAGTAACGGTAGTTTTGAAGAGGTTTAACTGAGGGAAGACACAATCTAAATGTGGGCATTCCTATCCCACAGGCTAGAGTAACAAAAAGGAGTAACAACCTAAATGAGCATCAGATTCACCTCTCTGCTTTCTGTGGACAAAATGTGACTGACCAATTGCCTCATGTTTCTCAGCACCATGCCTTCCCCCATCATGACAGACTGTACCATCAAGGAAAAACAAACCCTCCCTTTTTCCCTCCCTCTCTCCTTTCCCTTCCCCCACTTCCTCCTTATGCTTCTTGACACTTGTATTAGTTACTTATTGCTGGGACAAAAACAACTGAAGGAAGGAACCATTTGTTTTGGTTCAGTGTGAAACTGACAGTCTACCACTGAGGGAAGGGAATGGCAAAAGGAGCATGAACAGTCACATTGTACTAGCATTAAAAAGCAAGTGAATGCTGGTATTCAGTTTACACTGTCAGCTCAGAACCTTAGCCCATAAAATGGTGTCATCATGTCTAACCCAATCTAGAAACTGTCTCACCAACATACCTAGGTTTGTCATCTAGTTTATTCTAAATCTTGACAAGTTGATATGAGTAACCATTACAACAGGCATTTGGTCATAGCAACAACACAGCAGCTAATACAACAATAAGATTGGAATAAACACCAGGTGGTGGTGGAGCATGCCTTTAATCCCAGCACTTGGGTGTGCTGCTATCTTGTTTGTACAAATAAAGCTTGCCTGAAGATCAGAGGGCAGAGCTAGTCGCTAGCTAACAGTAGAGGTCTGGAGGTCTGTACCAACAAAGAAGAAGTAATAAGGTGGGAGGAGAGGGGAGTTCAGTCTCTTTTCTGCTGGGAAGCTGAGTAGGAAGCGTAGCTATGGTTTGGTTCTTCATCTCTCTCATCTCTCAGCATTGACCCTATATCTGACTCTCAGCTTTTATTAACACCTATTAGAACTTGCGCTTCATTTTGGCACCCAATATGGCACAAATGCACAAAAAAGTCACTTGTCTGTGGCTTTGCAGCCACTGGGGCTGCATGCAGGGCTCCCGTCAGAGTCACCACCCAGATGGCTAGGTTCTTCACTTTGTTCCTAAGCATCTAAGCGAGTTTGGGATTTTTGTCATTGCTGTTATTGCAGACTCTCTGCAACAAACTCCACAGTTCAAACTCCACAGGCACCTGGGTTCCAAATGCCACAGGACTTACCCTACCTAGACTGACTGGCTCTGCCTTCAGGCAGTCACCGCCCCAAGTGTTTCTTCTGGCACAATTCCATGTGCATTTTTCAAACGTGGTGCTATCTTGTTTGTACAAATAAAGCTTACCTCAAGATCAGAGGGTGAAGCTAGTCACTAGCTAACAATAGAGGTCTGGAGGTCTGTACAGACAGACAGGAAGTGATATGGTTAACTAGTGGCAAGCTTTATTTATACAAATAAGATATCACCACACTCGGATGCACAGGCAAGAGGGTCTCTGTGAGTTTAAGTTCCAGGATAGGTAAGACTACACAAAAAGAAACCCTATCTCAAAATAAATAAATAAAAATAAAAACAAAACAAAAAAACAAATGAGCAAACAAAAGACCTGAACAATTTAGTCAGATATATTATTTGACTAACAAGTAATAATTTAAGTCATATGGATACTAAAGACAAATTATCACTAATGTAGTATTGAAAAAGTAGAAAAACTGAATTATTATACCCTAAGATTACTCTCTATCATCTAAAATTTTTAACTCCTTCTTCAGTTTTGTGGAAGTTAAATTTAAAGAAAAAAACAATTTTTTTTCTTCCTTTAGTACACAATATATAAGCAATAAGCAATGATAATGACTTTCCTTTCAGAGTCACTTGGAATTCGGTAATTCAGAAAAAGGGTAACTCCCATCTGAATAAGGAATTTCTAGATAACCACTAATTAGGAATGGTATAGGAAGATGGGAAGAGGGGAGGGTAGGGAGGCAGGTGAAGGAGAGGAAGAGCTAGGGTTGACATGTAAAATAAAAAGTAAAGTTTTTAATAAAAAAAATATGAAAAAAAGCTTTAAAAAAAGAAATATGTAAGGAGAGATTTGGACAAACTAATTTTGAACTAACCAACAAGCAATTGGTTTTATTAACCAATACAAATGTATTTCTTTTTGCTAACTATCCCCAAGGGGTTAGACCTCATTTCTGGAACTATTATAGCACATTCAACAGACTTGCGTATCTATCAAACCCTTTATGAGCATTACTAAAAGGTTACATCAGGTTTTTTACAAAAAAAGGTTTTGCAGGTAAGTAAAATAGGCTTAAAAACTTGCCCAACGCCACAACTGAGGAATACATAGCTCAAGTCTTCCTTCAACACACTAGTACCCAATAATTATAAATAAAACCTCCTCCCAATTGTTCCCTCCTCCCAGACCTTCTGTACTGATTCAACAAAGTAACAGGCATGCTAGGTAAAGAAGTGTTTTAAACTGTGTAAGAAAAATACACTCTTCTTCTATACTCTTCTTTTTTGCAACACAATCAAAGGCAAGGGTGCTAAAGAGAAATTGTAACTCTTGGATGTCACTGATCAAAGTTTCTTAACTATAACAAAAAGAAAAGCACTTACAATCTGTATCCTTTTATTATCATCTAAGATGATGTGGAGGAGTATCTCAACAATAAAAGTAACTAAGGAAATTGGGGTTGTAGGCAGTATAAGAGTCTCCTGCAAAATAGCCAGCAGTCGTTTCCTGTAATCAAAAAGACCTTTTTAAACTACCACTCTGACAAAATACATTATTTATATTTTTAAACATTTTTTTCTTTATTTTCTGTGAGTATATGTGGGAGGGCACATGCCTAGAACTAAATGTGGAGATCAGAGAAGAAATTATAGGAATTAGTTTTCCCCTTTAAGCCTGAAGGTTCCGAGAATCAAATGAAAGTCATCGGGTTTGACAGCAAGCACCTTTAACCCCTAGGCCATCTTGCCAACTGAAAATACACTTTCTCTAACATTTCTCTTTACATCTGTTTTAGTTTTTACTTCTGTTTATAAATTTAAGTACAAAACTCCATACATACAAACTTTATGTTAAAAAAAACTCATATTCTCCAACTGATATAAAAATACACATATAAATTATATTTTTATAATTTGATCTTAAATTAACAAAAAATGGGGAAAAAAGTGGTGAATCAAATCTTCTAGATTGCACTACTTGCTCTCTCTGCAATAAATATTTTAAACCAAAAACTTGGAAATTACTTACTCTGAGGTAATTATACTAGGATTATATACATATATACCCACAGAAACATGCATACATATGCAATCATGTGCCACATAATATTTGAGTAAACATTAGGCCACATACCCAATAGAAGTCCCAGAAAATCATAATGGAGTTCGAAAATATCAAATGCTTAATGATATATAGTAGCCCTAATAATGCTGTACGTAAATGCCATTTCTCTAGTGATGCTGGTGTAAACAAACATATGTTGCCATACATGTAAGAGTATAGTATATGCAATTATATACAACACATCATACTTAATGTTAAATGACTGCTACTGGTTTATATAATTATTATAATGTAATCTTTACTATTAATGTAGCATATACTCAGCATACTACTACTATGAAAGTTATATTTGCAACCTCATATATACTTTGTCATCTTCTAATTATATACCAAAAGACCACAATGAACAATTAACCTATAACATCTAAATTTATATACTATGCTTGCACACCAACAAAATCACCTAACACATTTCTCAGATTAAACCCTAATATTAATTAACTAACTATATGTGTGTAAATGTTTCAATATACAGAAACGGGAAAGAGAAAATTTTATAGCACTTCTAGATTAGATAGATCTAGTCATACTGTAACAAACTATATTTAAACACAGGGATTTAGCCAGGGAGTGATAAGCTGCCCAGCTGCCCTCTAAACAAGACTTGACTGTCACACGCATGCGCTCACAGCAGCTGTGGTTATCTGCAGATGACCTGCAGCCAACACTCCAGTACAGATGGGATGAGGGCTCCTTAGGCCCTACCACCCCCCGGCTGAGAAGGCACCACAGTAGATAGCTACTAGGGGAGGGAGAATCATTTTTCTTCTGGAGTGCACTTGGTGGAATGCTCCCCATAATGGGGAAGCAGGAGCCCAGGGTAGAAGGAACATATTGAGGATCAAAAGGAATGGGAAGAGTCTTGAGAGGGATATAAAATTATTCAATAAAAATTATTACTTAAAAAGCCTGATTAACCAGAGGATATATCATCTTCATCACTTATAGTTACACTAAAATTAAAATCAGAATTATCTTTTAAAAATTAAACCAAGGAAAGTTACTAAATAAATCAAATTAAAAGAAATTAGATCAAATGTTAACATTTAGACATACCTTCCTCCTTCTTCACTGGTATCCAGAGATTTTATAATTAGAATCAATTGCTGACATATAAATTCTCTTGTCATCAAATTTCCAATGTAGGTAAAATCACCTCTCTGTTCTTCATTAACTACTGGGAAGCTCTGGATGTAACTAAAATAAGTAGAATAAAGTAGATGTAACTCAGTGGAAGTGCACTTACAAAGCGCACAAGGCACTCACAATAGTGTAATACCACATACCAACAAATAATGATTTTATATACAGGTTAAAAAAAAAATAAAAACCAGAAAACAGTATATATACATATACATACATACATATATACATGTAATATGCTCTATTTTCAAAAGGAAACTTACATGTGCATTTAAAACACGTAGAGAAAAAGATTTGAAAATGCACACCCTAATTGCTTCGTTAACTCTACAATGATTGATGGGACTGGGGATGAAAAAATAAATTTATCTCTACATTTGAATTTTAAGTATTTTTTAACATAATTTTACAGTGAAGTAGAAATTATACTGTCTTAGTTGGGTGTCTATTATGATAAAACATCATGACAAAAAGCAACTGGGGAGAAAATGTTTTATTTCCTGTTTCACACGACAGTCACACAAGTTATGTCAAAAACTCAAACAGGGCAAGAACCTAGCAGGAGCTGATGTAGAGGTCATGGAGAAATGCTTGTTCCCCATGGCTTGCTCTGCCTGTTTTCTTATAGAACCAGGACCACCAGCCCAAGAATGGTAAGCTATGCCCTTCCAAATCAACCACCAATCAAGAAAATGTACCATCACAGGCCAATCTAGTGGGAGCATTACTCTAATTGAGGTTCCCTCTTCCAAAATGATTCTAGCTGAGGTCAAGCGGACACAGAATTAGCCAAGACAGATAATTTAGAAAAATAAAATTTTAAAGTTGTTTTATTTTTAGTATATTATTAATCAAAAAAGACATTATACTAAAACTGGCCATACATCACTATCCCATGACTCTGACATAGGATATGTCAAATCTAACAATCATGATACCTGTTTTTGTACAGCTTACAAAGAATAATGTAGTGGCATTTCACTTGTATTTTAATAAATAAAACTTGTCTGAGGATCAGAAAAGTAAAACCAACCACCTATTATACACACCTTTAATCCCAGTAGACATAAAAGCTTGCCACAGAAACCAGCAACAGTGGTACTTGTTTTTAATCCCAAAACTAGAGGATTATAAAATGGGAAGAGAAAGCTTGCTGACTCAGTCTCGTTCTGAGATTCCTGGAGGCAGGATCGCCATTTTCAGATTAAGATAGAGGTAAGAGCCAGTGGCTGGCTATTTTGCTTTTCTGACCTTCAGGCTAAACCCCAATTTCTCTCTCTGAGTTTTTATTAATCATACTTCAAAATAATTTTTAAGAATTTCATCATGGCTGGGAGGTGGTGACACACACCTTTAATCCCAGCACTCGGGAGGCAAAGGCAGGTCGATATCTGTGAGTTCGAGGCCACAAGAGGTCTACAAGAGCTAGTTCCAGGCCAGGCTCTAAAACTCCATCAAAACCCTGTCTTAGGGAAAAAAATAAAATTCATCATATGTGAATATTCACATTCAACCAAGAAAAAGTAAAGTTTTATCAGGGAAAGCCACACTAATCACCTGCTAATGTTGAGTCACTGTGACAGGGATAGTATACACATTCAATATACTAACCACACAACAGACTCTTGAGAAACACTCAATGAACACACCCATTTATACCTACTTGAATACAACCTTTTTGTTTTTTTAATTTTTTTCCAAAGACGACTTTAAATAAGGGGGCTATGAGATCAGCACACGAGCAATGTAAGTACAGTTCAAACCAAAAGAAAAATTTTACCTCAGTAAATACTCTGCATATACTACAGGCTCTGGCAAAATTTGCTCTAAAAACTCTTCACCTTCATCTCCTTTTGATTTTAAATATTCACAGAGGGTACGCCAATACAAAGCAAGTTCAGGAGTTAATGTTTCCGCTGGAATCAACTTCCTTCATTTAGAAAAGAATAAGAGAGCAGGATTTTTACGGGCAGTTGAAAAGCAGAACAAGAATGGAAATAAGATACAGATTTCCTTCAATTACTAAGTATTTTAACTACTAAGTCAATAAATGACCCATCCAAAAAATTATTAAAAGAAAAGAAACTTAAGATGCTTCCAATAAGCTTAATGTGGCAAGAATGTCCATTTGGGGATGTTTTCACAGCACATGTAATACAAAAATAAAACTACAAAATGAAAGGGCACAAATGAAGCGATAGCTGACGAAAAGTATGAGTTCTTGTACCAGAGGGGGAAAAGACATTCATCAAAGAAATGAGGGACAGATAAAAGGTACTGATGAAATCTGAAAGTACAAGGAGGGAAAACCAATTTTAATTGTGGAAGCTCAATTTAAATACTTTATTATATACCTGTCATCACTGTTTTTACAGATTCCGATCAGTTCACTGAGAGGAGTCACTGAGAATAAGGAATTAAGAACAGAGACTGCCACATCAAAAGAATTTTCCACATCTAACCGATGAAGTAACTCCAAGATATTTCCTTCGGTGAAGCGCAGCCAGCCTTGGAGAAGATGCTTCTGCACTGCTTGTCTCACAGCATCTGGGGAGTCATTTCAGACAGGTAAACAGTGTACACTCCAGACTTTCCCCCCACTATCCCCATTTTAATGAACTTTTATTGAGTCAATGTTAACACTGATATTAACAATACAAATAGATTATAAGCAGAACAAAGCATGATAACAAAAGATGCAGTATTACTAAGTCATAATGACTATTTCAAAATACATATGGAAGTTCAGCAGTAAAAACCTAACTCCTATATAGCCGAATAAAAAATTCTTCATATTGTCTCCTCACTGAATATCAAGCATCAGAATATAAGAAATCTACCACTTCACTTGCTGACTTCGATTATATGAATTCAACTTGCAGTATTGAAATCACAACATACTTTACTAAACAAATTTTATTTGTATCATTTAAGGCAGTGGTTCTCAATCTTCCTAATGCTACAAGCCTTTAAAAAAGTTCTTCATATTGGGGTGATCCCCAAACATAGAATTATCTTCACTGCTACTTCATAACTCTAATTTTGCTACTGTTATGAATTATAATGTAAAGATTTGTTTTCAAACCCCCAAAGAGGTTGTGACCCAGAGGTTGAGGTTAAAAGCATCCATATTCACAAACTCAAGTTTGCTTTCTTGGTACAGCAAAACTGAGACTAAATGTTTCATGAGAGCCAACCAAGAATTTTTAGAACATCTTTCATATAAGGAGATCCACTAGTTTGACCTATGAGAAGGATGGGGTATTATACAGGTCTGCTCATTCCTAGTTGTTTCTCATGCACAGAACACATTTATGTTGTTACAGAAAACCACAATAATACTGTCTAAGAAAGACAAGATAAAAAGAAAGATTCTGTCTGACTTCTGAAAAAAGCAACCACATAAAATTTAGAATAGTCTTCCCCTCCATAAAGCAGAGAAGTCTAAAAGAAATGCCTTGCTCCTTCAAAATATCAAGGCCTTTAACCTCAAAATGTTTCATCAAATTTATGGAAATGATAGTTTCATTAACTTCAAGTCTGACTTACAAAAATGTGTATCTTACCTGACCTGTCATTAAGACCTTGTTGAAGAAGCAGTACTCTCTGAGCAATGGACATAGCTCTTATATGAACTTTTTCGGCTAACACCTTAAAAAGGTAAAAGATAGCCATTAATCTCAATACACTTTAGAGATATATTACTTATGAATACTGTATTATTCAGGAAGTTAACCCATTTAATACAATAATACTCTACCTAAATTACCTATATTTTTCAAAAGTCCTAATTGGAAAAAAAATTCATTGTTACCAAGATTTTTCCAAAATGCCATTTTCAAAAACAAGCCTTCTGAAGATGCTTAACTTATTTACCTGATAAGCCAGCTTTCTGACAGCCTCTTTTACATCCTTTGTACGCCCCACAATTTTTGGCAAAGTCTTTGCTGATGGTGCAATACAGGATAACACTGCACGTCTAACTTCTGAATTTGAATCATTTTCTATCATAGTAACATATGCTAAAAATAAAGCAATACATTTTAATATTAAAATTGCTCTTTAAGTCATAGATATGTCCCTCTGATATTTAATTTTTTAAATAACAGAGAGAGCATGTACTACTCTTATATATTCACTTTTAGCAAAAAAGGAAAAGAAAACTTTAATAACTTTCTTAGAATGGAACTAAAAATTAATATACTGTGACTGGAGATTAAAAAGGAAAACCTCAAAAGTCGGGAGATGATTAGAGCAGGCAATTTATTTTAAATTGATATGGTTTTCTGTAAGAACCTATTTTGATTTATTTTAAACTTTATATAAAAATGTTACGTCCCCCTCAATCATACCCCAAAATTAAAAAAGAATCAAGCCCAAAGACTATACAACTCAATGAACTTCTATACAGTTAGAATAGTTATTCAGAAGAAAAGTTACAAAGGTTCACATTTAACTTTACACTTTTAACCTTGATAAGTGGCTGTCATAAATTCATGTGTTCAATACACTTTTACAATTGCTTGAGTGTACTCCTATTTATTTTAAAAAAAAAACTTGACTATACAAGAGCATGTCAAATATAGTGGCAGTAATCTCATACATGTCTAGTGGAACTTTAGACTGCACCAGAAGTCGCACTGAGTGATTGAACTTTACAATCCATTTGTCCAAGTACAGGCTACAGTGTTATAAAAATCACTTACAGTAATACTTCTCAAATTGTACCACCAACATTAAGCAACTCATGATGATCACATGATAAATATATGAAGATGGGTAACAATAACATATAGGGCATCAAATTTTAAAATGTGATGAAACTAAAGAGGATATGGGTCAATGAATACTTTCATGCCCCATTACTGAGACTATTAATAAGTAAATCGTTTTTTAGACTACTCCACCTAGTCTAATAAAGTGGGGCCTATGAGCCTATCCCTAAGTATAACTCTACAAAACTCTTTCATCTATGCACTCAAACCATGTATAAAAATCCTAACACTGGGGTTTTTTGTTTGTTTGGTTGGTTTGGTATGGATTTTCAAGATATGGTTCCTCTGTGTAGTCATGGCTGTCCTAGAACTCACTTCATAGACTAGTCTAGCCTCAAACTCAGAGATCTGCCTGCCTCAGCGTGCTGGGACTAGGGCATGTCACCACCACACCCTGCTTCTAGCACTGTTTTAAAGCAAAGCAATTGCAAACAACTAGAGGGGCCATTAAAATGCAGAATAAACTCCATAAGACATTAAAATAGAGTAGAAAAAATATACCATGCTAAAACTAGAAATAATTTTGAAGGAAAAAAAAGACACAAAAATGTAGTATGGTCCATCAAAAAATAGCAGACAAAATTTAACACTGAAACAAACACCAATTGTCTAAAGTTTAGTTTTTCAGGCAAATAGAGCAATTAACCCAAAATTCACTGTAATTATCACCATCTCTGAGAAAGGGATACCACTGGAGTAAAAGCAAGGCAAAGTTAAAATATGTTCTCATTTTAAATTGTTGGGTTGATTCTTCCTTAACACATAGAGACATAAATAATTAATAAGTAGAAATTCAATGCTCAGTTAGGGAGATGGATCTATTAGTATGGGACTTGCTGTACAAGCATGAGGCTAGATGTTCCATTCCCCAAACCCATAAAAAACCAGGCATAGTGGCAAGAACCTATGATCTTAGCACTGGGGACAAGAAGACAGGATTTCTGGGGCTTGCTGGCCAATGAGTCTGAGTAGATAAACTCTAGATGTAATGAGAGATGCTGTCTCAAAAAATAAGGTAGAGCAACTAAAGACATCTGATTCTAACCTCTGGCTTCCATGTGACTATACACACCCACACCCACATGTATACACGCACACATCAAATCCAAATACTGAAAAATTAACAAAGTCAATGTACTGAAATAAGACTTAGGACACCATACATACCATCAACTACTGGGCAGTCATCATCCTTGGGATCTTGGAGTCGAGAGAGAGCCAAAACCGCTTGTATTCTCACATTTGGAATCTTATCTTTCAATCTAATAAGCATGGCTTCATTAATTTTATCAAACAAGTCGTCATCAATTTGGGCATTTTCTGGCATACTCCCCAGAAGCTTATTAATGAGCTGGCATACTCTAAATCTGACTGCACTGCTGTTTGCTTCATGAGACTACACAAAAACAGATAAAAAGTTATTCCTAGTCACATTCCTTTCTTAAATAGTCAATATAATCTCAAGTGGTCTGGAAAAATATTTGCTATACTAAAAAAATAAGCATATTCTTCTCTGTAGGAATGCTTTACTTCAAGGCAGAAAAATTTCACAACAAACATGAGAATTTAAACAGGCAGTTAACAACTCAACAACTAGAATTATCCTTTCAGCTTAATGACAGTCAAGATTTCCTATAAAAGACTTATTCTCATACATTTTTCTCTACCACTGATATTTCACTGTGGAAAATGACAAACACCATGGAGAAATTCTCTTCATTACTTCCCCCAAAGTACTGTTTTCACAGTACCTTTAATAGAAAAGTGAACAAATAATTTAAAATGCCACCATCTTCCTCTTCCTCCTCTTCTTCCTGATCAGACTGGTGAAATGAAGTAGCAAACTTGGCAGCGAAGTCGACGACCCTCTCCACAGCAGGTTCACGTTTATATACCACCATGGCATATTTAAGGTAATGAACAAACTCCTCCTGAAAAGCTGTTTTATCATCCATCTGAAAGACGGAAGAAACACCTCCATGAGCTGCAGTAATGAAGATTCTTTATTCCCCACACTACCATTAACACTGCTGAAAGCTTTGGCCTTAGGGCAAACTAAAATCATTTTTAGGAAACTCTCAATTATCCAAACCAAGAAAAGGGGAAATAAACCTGCCCAAACTTCTCTTCAGCATATAATCTGCACCTCTGAGAAAGTAGAAAGCATAAATTTTGACTGTTTTTCTTTCAAACCTCTTGGATTCTCAATGTTTTCCTTACCATATTAATGCAACACAAACTTCGTCAAGAATAACTCATTTTATTTAGGCCTTCCTAATATCCAGCAATTATCTTTTAGTTTAACTTCCACAACCTAGTCCATATCCTTAATCACGTTCGTATTTACTTTTCTCGAACTTCAAAATAATTTATCGGCCTCAAATTCGCTGTCCTATAAGACTCACAGCTCCACTCGATGAACAATTGACATACCTAGGAAAGGCTAGGTTCTAATATTTGGTGAAATGAATTGGATTTTAAGCTTAGGAGTTGGTTGAAATAACATAGTCGGATTTCTTACGATGAACTAGAGACCCCAAAGGAAAATAGGACGTCTGAAATTTGAAGCCCAACGTCTCCAAGTCACTGCCAAACTAAGGATAACGGATCGCTCCTCCGGGGGCCCAGGGAAGGGGGTGGAGAAAACTGAAGGAAGACGCCGTGTGGACTATGCCCGGAGTCCCGATCACTGGCTGGAGACCAGGAGACCTCGGGCAAGCCTCAGAGCACCTGAGCCCAGCTTACCCCTACGCTGGTCGCGCAAATGCAAAAGGCTGAGCGGGGGCGGCGGGGTGGGGGGGACAGGGGGACGGCGGCGCCGAGGCCAGGCCGCTTACCGCGCCATACGTGCGGCTCAACGCCACCACCAGCTTCGCCTGGTTCTGGTGTGGCTGCTGCGCTAGCCGAAAAGCCTCCTTCACAGAAAGCCGCTTCTTTTCCGCCGCCATGGCGCCGCGACGACAAACGCGCACAACCACTCAGCGAGCCTCCCAGGCGCGATTACCGCCAGAGTTTTGAAACACCTCTCGCGAGAGGGCGAGGCTCCGCGGGATTTTCGCGAGAGGCGGAACCCGGAAGCCGAGAGACACCCGACTCTCCGACCCGTCCCCCACCCCCATCTGAACTGCCGCTGCTGGGCACGCATGCGCCGAGGGGGTGGCAAACTGTGAAGATTCGGTGAGGGCGTGGCCGGAAGTGGTGTCGTCGTCAAGGAGCCGAGCTGACGCTGGCGTCCAACTTTCTGCGCGGAGATGGTGGCACCGGTGTAGTCTACTCGGGAGATGAGAAAACCTGCCGCGATGAGAACGCGGTCTCCAGTCCTGCTGCCTGACGCGGGAATCTGAGCGAAGGGGACAAATGAGGGATTCTGGGAGGGCGCGCTCGGGGTTCGGGAAAGCCAGGGGTTCCTGAGGTCGATCTGGACTAGGGCTCCTGCAGTTCCGTGGACGCAGTGGGCGGGGCGGCGGCCTTGCAGTCTGGGGGACCTGGAAGAGAAAGGCGGAATAAATGTAGTCTGCAGCCGCTCGGAGGTGCTCCAGCTTCCCGGGTCTGCTTCACACCGCTGCGTAACAACTCTTCCCGACGGAGGAGAACGCAGACTGTGCAAAAGGACTTTGGGGTCCTGGCGAAGACACGCACTGGTTATTATATAAAATTATCTCCCATGGAATGGCTCAGCTGGGGCATAGGACACACCCCTCCAAAATGGGAAATTTATCTGGCGTCTTGCCTGGTGATTGTACAAAACTGCAGCCTCCTGTCCCGTGTCCATTGGTGAAGTGTATCAGGAAGAGGGCTGCCCTAGACTATCTTCTCACTGGGTGACTTCATGTTTCTTCACCGGAGTTTCCTTCCCTTTGTGTAGCTTGTGCCACCCGCTTTGTAGCTGTGTGTGGTGTTCATGCCTCGATCATCTGGTCTTTCATGTTCACCCGCAATCCCCTGTCTGAGTTTTGTTTTGTTTTCCTTGCGGTTTGTTTTATATCAACTTAATTCATAATTCAAAGAACTTGTCCTGCACCTCAGCATCCTCTGTGAGGATGGAAAAGAATGCTCTCCGTCTTCACAGAAAGCTAGAACATTCCAAAGCCGCTTGGATGCCTTCCCCTATCAGAAGTAACCTGTTAGAATGAAGTTTTTTATTTCTACCACCCAGATTTTTACCTGTATCCACATAAGTAAATGTTGGAATGAATGAATGTATTCAATGGTTTTCGTGTTTTAACCATCTATAAATACCCATAAATGCAACTGGCTTTTTAAAACCCCTACTGTTTTAGAACTTTATTCATATATGCTAATATTATCAAAATTTATTGACTCCTTTCATGTGACAGACACTATTCTAAGCACTTTACTCCATTGAATCCTTTATTTATATCTCCTTTTAGGATGAGTAAGTTGAGACACACAAGGTGCCCCGAGATTTCATCCTAGGAATGTGCCATGATCATCCTCCTGTTTCATTCCTAGTTTCTGAAAGATTATAGGTACACAATTTGCTGGTTAAAGTGATAGCTATGGTGGTGGTGTTAGGTACTTGGAATGAAACCAACACCATGTCCAGCTGGAGAAAGATGCCCCAGGTTAATCACTGGGAGCAAAAACAAGTTAAGAATGTGCATTCTGAGGAGGAAAGACAGGGAAAGAATGCCTAGATGCTACTGCTTAAAATCACTAGCCATATAATCAGTATACATTATTAAAAAGATAACGCTTTTTTTTCTTGTCTTACTAAGACTTTGCATCTCTGGGTGTTATTTTTGCACTAGTGCTACTTCAGATGCTTAGTAGGTTCATGTGACTGGTGAACATACAAAACCTTGTTTACTTTGGGGATCGCTAGAGAAGAGGGGAGATGGGTCAGTGGGTAAAGTGCTTGCTGGACAGCATGAGAAACTGAACTCACATGCCCAGCACCCACATAAAAATCAGATGTGCCCATCTGTAACCCCAGCACTTGTGGGTGCGAGAGATAGTGGATCCCAGGACTTGACTGGCCAGTCTGGCAAACTAAGCAACTCCAGATTCCCTGAGAGCCTGTCTCAAAGAAAATAAGACATAATCAGTGAAAGCACCCACTGTTTAAGTCTCTGTCCTAAACATGCATGTGCCACACACAAAATAAAATTTTAAAAAATGCTAACAAAATGAGAGTCTGTGAGTATGTATCGTTTGTTTTTAATGTAAAATAAGCTGGCAAACAAACGCAGAACATACCAGTATTTTATGAAAATTTTTGGCCTTTAATTGTCTCTATCTGTTGTAGATACTTGCTGCCTTTATTGCTTTGTTGATAAAAATGTCTTAAAATACATCTTTACAATATATTTTATCTGGCTTTTTCACCATTAGTGAAATAAAGTGAGTCTGGCCACTAGAGGGCACTATGACTGTTTTGATTGGAGTCATGGGTTTTAGTAAAGAATACTATATGGGTTTGGGACTTATTCAGCATTATAATCTGAGAGCTTTTCCAATATGCTTTATTGAATTCAAACAACATAATCGTGTTATTGTAACGCTTACATAGGTCTTGACTCTTACTTTTATTCTGTGAGAAAAGAGCAAATACGTATAGGAATGTCATGTCTTTGACAAACTTTAGATAGCAAAAACTAAGTAGTAACACGTTAGTTGTAAGATTATATTGAATTCTGAATTTTAGATCAGTAATTTTTGAAAACTAAATTATGCATGAAAATGTTTAGAATAGATGAGGATAATTTGTTTTGATACAGAAATGTATACAGGAACTATAAAAGAAAAATAGCAGAGGGATCACTTGTATGTGTAGAATTTATGTCTTTTAATACACTTCTTTTGTTGCGTATCAAAAGGGGGATTGAGTTAGCCTTTTGAAGAGTACTTTGAGAAATCTTACAGATGCAGTCTATTTGAGATGAAAACAAAATTATAAAAGGACAGGCCAATTTAAAGGCAGCCCCTCCTATCTCACTAAAAGGCCGACTGAAGGTAAATCACAAAGTATTCTTTTCAGAATGAAGTAGATAATGTTACTAGATTTGAGAGCATGTTTCTTGAAGGTGAAGTCATAGAATTTTACCTTGTTTTGCTCTGGTGGCAAGTGCTCCCTTTACTTTTCCCATCACAGAAAATTGGTGTCTTCAGATACCAGGTACTCGTTTATTCTGCCTGAGAGCATGTCTTTTTAGATACATGTTACTGGTTGGTTCCTCTGCCCATTACATGTTTAGGGTTTTGTTTTCTTAGTGTGAAATTATCATTTATTTAAAACGTTGACTAAGATTTCCAGTAGTATGTCAGAGTGCCACACATCAAGGTTTGGTCAGCCTTACTAATGCAAAGAAGTTACTGTTCTTTCTTAGATAACTCTTACTTGATAATAAAACTGTCTCACCTGAGTTTTGTAAATAAAGTGAGCTTACCTTTATTTGATTTGACTCTAGATTTACATTTAATGTGTCTCCCTTATAGAAGGAGTTTTATGCTTCCTCACAACCTAATAGTCTATAGAGAATTGATTATATGACGGCTACTTCAGAGGTCACCACAAGAATCTTGACACCTAACAACTCTACTACCAGAACAGGCCCAGTAAAACATCCCAACAAACACATCTGAGGTAAAAAGGTAAATTCTTTAGAGTTTGCGGCATATGTGCTCTTCCACAAAATTTTGGGGGTGAAAACAAACCAGTTCAGTTATATATTAATAAAGGAATGAAATGGCCCAAACTCTTAGCCAGTTTTGTGACTGTAAGCTATCCACAACAGCAAAATTGTCTTAGTCTGTAAGACACAAATGGGACTCTTTGATCCCAGCACTTCAGAGGCAGATACATCTCTGAGTTTGAAGGGAGTGTGTTCTACATAGTGAGTTCTAGGGAAACAGGAAGATTCTGCCTCAAAAAATAAGATAGGGATAAGAAAACTAAGCCTTGAATTGTGTCCATTTCTTGAAAGCCCTAAAATTAGATGGTAATGCTACTTAGAACATTCAGTCCTTAACATCATGTCTTTAGTCTTGTTCACAGGTCACAGGTTGAGGCTACCTTTTGAGATAGTCCAATTACTGAGATACCATTTCAGAGGTCATTGAATTACCTATAGAAAACATCAGATCTTTGAACAACAGATGTTATTGACAGTTTTTTACCAGATCATAGCTACTGCAAAGTCACCCAACTGGCAGCTAATGGTCCTTAATTACTAACTGGATACATTGTCCCTGCCAACAAAACCAAGTACACAAAGTTTCTCCATAGTATCACTCCCAGCTGAGACTGCTCAGAATCAGTTTGCCTAGATGAGAACTCAGCTCTGCTTGAGTCCGGAGGGGAGGAAGTTCACTGGTAAGGGACTAGCACTTTTGCACACTGAACTGGTCCTGAGGACTAATATACTTCCCTGTGAATGGATAGTACGCAGCATTATCTTCCCGGACTGCACAATGTGGGCCTGAGGCATGCCTTATATGTGTAATGGGCTGAGAGACAAGTTAAAATCTGTGAAGAGGTTTTTTTTTTTCTGTTCACCAGGGGTAAATGTCTGCATTCTGCCTTAAATTGTCACCTTTTCTGCTGCTTACATGCTATTTTGTTCCCGATCAGTGGTTCTTCACCTTCCTCACACTGTGACCCTTTAATACAGTTCCTCATGTTTGGTGACCATGCCCCCAGCCATAAAATTATTTTCATTTCTACTTCATAACTGTAATTTTGCTACTGTTATGAATCATAGTGTAAATATTTTGCGAGATAGGGTTTTTGCAAAGGGGTTGCTACCCACAGGTTGAGAACCACTGTTCTGGTGGGTCCCCCAATTTCATCTCCTGATCATTTAACAGAATCAAAAGGTGAAGAAGAAAGAATGGTCTACCTATATGGTGATTTTAGAGGATGAAATCTCTCTGAAGAGGACCCCAAGATGCCCAACCTAAAACTTCTTGAGAATCTTTCCTGCCAGGTTAATGATCTTGTAAAATATTCTAAAACTTGGAAATGTTTAGATCCCAAATCCTAATTGTATTATGCTGAACTCTTAGAACAAAATAATACACTCCACAAACTTCAAGCGACAGGTCTAAGACTCTTCCATTGTTTCCCATTGTGTCCCCAAACTGGAACCAATTCCTGAGTGACCCTCTCTGGCCTCTTGTGGGGTCCCAGCTTTTCAAAAGTCCCTTAAAAGTCACAACCAGCACACTAGACATCATGTTACTCTAAATGGAATACTGCAGTTTTCACCAAAAAGCTAAGCCTAGTACTGAGTAGAGCCATTTCCAAACGTGGATGTGTAAATCATTTCCCTGATTCTTGTGTTTCTTGTTGCTGTGACTACCTCACAAAGGGAGTAAAGGAAACTGCCTGCACTGAACTTTTTGACACTATTTCCTAAACTGATCTCCAGAAGGCAGTTAACAAAATTCTAACTGCTTCATGAAAATAGTAAGCATTTGCTTTGATACTGGTGTTGCTTATTTAGAAAAGGAGATAGGGGCTGGAGACGTGACTCAGAGGCTAAGAGCACTTGTTATTGCAGAGGCTCAGGTTCAAGTCCAGCAGCCACATGGTGGCTTAAAACGGTAACTCCAGTTCCAGAGGAGCCAACATGCTTCACACTCACCTGGGTACCAGTCATGCATGTGGTACACATACAGACATGCAGGCAGAATACTCAACATGTAAATAAAGCCAAGAAAATGTTTAAAGACTACAAAGTAAATCACAGACCCTTTGGAAAACTGATGCCTTTTCAACCAAATGGTATTCCTGACGAGCTAAAATGCTACTTGCTACTCAATGACTCAAGATATTGTCATCCAACTAAAGAAAAGGTAGTGTTTGAGCATGCCCTCTCAGAAATTATTCTTAGGGGGGAGATTGAATTAGCAGAAATAATTATACAAATAATTGATATCTTCATCTGACACCTTTTAAGGGTTCTTGTGTCTTATATTTGGGAGTGGAATGTGGAAAATGTGAATTCAAACCTAGCCTACCCTACTCCAAGCCTAATAAAGGTACTTCTAAATACTTCATGAACACTCTGAATTTTAGGCCTCCACCAGACTCTACCAGGCTAATTTGGCCTGTTATATCATACCCAAGATTTAAACAGACTTCTGTAAGGGATATTTTTCTTAAATCTTCCTACCAAGATCTTTTTCAAGAACAAATAAACAAATTCAGATTATGGAGAGAACCAACTTTCACCAGAAAGAACTAGTGTTTTCAGTATTAATTGCAAAATGGTTAAAATATTCTACCTGTATTAATTTCCTGGAACAGAAGTTTCTGTTTGCATCCATTGCAACCATTTCAGAAACCCTCTAATCTAAAGATACTTCCTGCAAAACTATCCAGATCTGAAATTAAGAGTTTTATTAGCAGTATGGTTTTCTAAGTAGATAAGCTTTCGATCTTTCTTTTTCTTTTTTTCTTTTTTGGCTGAATAAAGTTAGTGTATGTGTCTGTTATGTTTATTTGAGTCAAAACGAGTATCATAAAGAAAATGCATAAGACTGTTAAATCCTTTTGATACCATAAGATAGTAAAATTTATGTATGATCCTGGATAACCGATCATATAAATGAAATCAGAAAACAAGTTATTGAATATATCTTCTTCTGGTTTTGTTTTTTATATAATCTATAATTGAGTACAAAAATAAGTAAAAATTGAAATGGTAATAAAATCATAATTCTGTAAATGTAATGTAGCAAATTTTAGGAGAGTAAAGACTGCTGAACCATATTTGCCCTGTCTTCAGGATAAAGAGGTGTATTTTAAGAAGAGAAAAATAAAAACACTCTTGAAGAAAAAGTCACATTCCATTGGAACCCAAGTTTGAAAATATTTTTGTTTCTGAATTTTAATTCAAGATGTATAAAATGAAAAACCTTAAACTGTTGCATATTCTTGTATGCCGGGGGTTTGGGATATTGGAATGAATTTGCCACTTGCACATTCCCCGTATGTGGGCTTCTGATTAAATGTATTCACTACAAGTAGGATAAAAGAAAATAATACCATATTTAAAGTATGTATATACACACACATATATGAATATAGTTCTTGAAGTACGCTAATAGGATTTCTTAACTATGTGACATTAATAAGAAATTTCAAAATGTTATATCTTTCTTAATGATATTAAGCATATTTTTGTTAAGTTGTCCAGATACCTTCAATTATAGACATCCATAATCATGTCTTAATCTCATCTGTTTCCTAAGGAAAGTAAAAAGCCATACTCTGGAGGAAGACAAATGGTAGTGACCTGGACCAGCAGGTTGTTCTTTAGTGATTAAGTTCATGGGAAAGAGAAGCAGGAATAAGAAATAGTAAAGAAACAGGGAAGTTTGGAATCAGGAGTTCTTCCACAAGCTCATGGCAAGCAAGTTTCTTGAGGAATCCAACACCTTGTACACTGTATGCGGGAGGGGTGGAGGGGGAATGGAACACATTCAACAGGAAGCTAATCAAGCAAAATTGCATAAAGAGAACTCAGTATCTATCAAGTCCATCACAGACAGGCCAAGCACTCAGGGGCCTTGGAACTGATAACTCCAGTCTTTACAGGAGGAAAAGTCAGGTTCCCCGGAACTGAAACCTTAATTCCTTAGAGTCTCTAGACCTGGCACCAGACCAGACCCTGCCAAGTCTGCCCCTGGGTAAGGACACAGAAATAGTGTTCCCTTTGTTCTTTCATTTGGGTATTATGAAAGCCCTGGGTTGGCCTGGCTCTCAACAGATAGGTACAATCCAGGGGAATTTCCTACTGTGACTCATATCATGTACATACCTAAAATTTTCCCTGTAACGAAAATAATGTTTCAGTATTAGAGGAGAATTAAAGCAATGAAGGCCTTACAAATGACTTGCATTGTTTTCATACCAATGCGTGTAAAATAAAATGACCTTCTGCTTTTGACATCAGTATTAGCACAGTGCCTTCTCTTAGAAATTGAGTTATCTGTCCAATAATAAGTAAGAGTACCTACTGGATTCTGAGGTAGGTTGATTCCCAGTTTTCTGAGAAACTGCCATACTGATTTCCAGAGTGGTTGTACAAGTCTGCATTCCCACCAGCAATGGAGGAGTGTTCCCCTTACTCCACATCCTCTCCAGCATAAGCTGTCATTGGTGTTTTTGATCTTAGCCATTCTGACTGATGTAAGATGGTATCTCAGAGTTATTTTTATTTGCATTTTCCTGATGGCTAAGAATGTTGAACATTTCCTTAAGTGTCTTTCAGTCATTTGAGATTTTTCTGCTGAGAAGTCTCTGTTTAGATCTGAACCCCAGATCTAAATTACTTGGAATTTTGATGTTTAATTTCTTGAGTTCTTTATATATTTTGGAGATCAATCCTCTGTCTGATATGGGGTTGGTGAAGATATTTTGTCATCCAATAGGCTGCCTTTTTGTCTATTGGCTATGTCATTTGCTTCACAGAAGCTTCTCAGTTACAGGAGTTCCCATTTATTTACTGTTGCTCTCAGTATCTGTGCTACTGATGTTATATTTATGAAGTGGTCTCCTGTACCATGCATTGAGGGCTAATTCCTACTTTTTCCTCTATCAGGATCAGTGTGGTTGGATTTATACTGAGGCCTTTAATCCATTTGGACTAGAGTTCTGTGTAAGGGGATAGATATGGATCAATTTGCATTAACCTACGTGTTGATATCCAGTTATACCTGCACCATTTGTTGAAGGTGCTTTCTTTTTCCATTGTATAATTTTAGCTTCTTTTTCAAAAGTCAGGTGTTCATATGTGTGTGGATTAATTTAATATCCAGGTCTTCGGTTCTATTCTATTGGTCAACCTGTCTGTTTTTATACTGTAGCTCTATAATAGAGCTTGATGTCAGGGATGGTGATGTCACTGGAAATTCATTTATTGTACAGGACTATTTGAATATCCTGGGTTTTTTGTTTTTCCATATGAACTTGCATATTGTTCTTTCAATATCTGTGAAGAATTGTGTTGGGATTTTGATGGGGATTGCATTAGATCTATAGATTGCTTTGGGCAGGATTGCCATTTTTATTATGTTGATTCTATCTAACAAAGAGCATGGGAGATCTTTCCATTTTCTGGTATCTTCTTCAGTTTCTCTCTTCAGAGACTTAAAGTTCTTGTTATATAGATTTTTTACTTTTTTGGTTAGTGTTACCCCAATATATTTTATATTATTTATGGCTTTTGTGAAGGGTAATATTTCTCTGATTTCTTTCCCAGTTTCTTTATCATTTACATATAGGAAGGCTACTGTTTTTTTTTTTTTAGATAATCTTGTATCCTGCCATATCACTGAAGGTATTTGTCAGCTATTGGAGTTCTCTGGTAGAGTTTTTGGAGTCACTTATGTATACTGTCATATCATGTGCAAACAGTGAAAGTTTGACTTCTTCCTTTCCAATTTGTATCCCCTTGATTTCCTTTTGTTGTCTTATTGCTCTAGCTAGAACTTCAAGAACTATGTATAACACATATGGATAGAGTTGACAGCCTTGTCTTGTTCCTGTTTTCAGTGAGATCGCTTTGAATTTCTCTCCATTTAATGTGATGTTGGTTGTTGATTTGCTATATATTGCTTTTATTATGTTTAGATACGTTCCTTATATCCCTGATCACTCCAAGACCTTTATCATAAAAGGGTGTTGGATTTGTCAAATATTTTTCAACATCTAATGAGATGATAATGTGTTTTTTTCTCAATTTATTTATATGGTGAAAGACATTGATAGATTTTTTTTTTGTATGCTGAACCATCCTTGCATCTCTGGAATGAACTTGACTTGATCATGGTGAATGATTTTTTTTTATGTGTTCTTGGATTCAGTTTGCCAGTATTTTATTGAGTATTTTTGCATCAATTGTTCATGAGGGAGATTGGTCTGTAATTCTCTTTCTTGGTTGAATCTCTGTGTGACTTTGGTATCAGGGTAACTGTAGCCTCATGGAAAGAGTTTGGCAATATTCCTTCTGTTTCTATTATGTGGAACACTTTAAGAATATAAGTATTAGCTCTTCTTTGAAGTTCTGGTAGAATTCTACACTGAAACCACCTGGCCCTGGGGTTTTTTTCCCCTTTGGTTGGGAGGCTTTTGATGATTGCTTCTACTTCCTTGCAGGTTATAGGTCTACTTAAATTATTCAACTGAACTTGATTTAATTTTGGTTTGTGGTATCTATCCAGAAAATTGTCTATTTCTTTCACAGATCATGTCAAGGAGATATGGACAATAAATGTCTGATTTGAGATAAAATAATAATAGATATATAATTAAGTAATTAACTAAAATAATAAAATAACAACATAGTAGGAGGACTGCACTAGGATTATATGTTGGCTCAATTGAGGTAAGCTATGTGAAAAAAGTTAAATGACTGAAATGTGACAGGAGAATTACTGGAATTGCTTGAGAAAT